CAGTTTACTTTCCTTTTTCATCTTATCTTATCAAACAATTTCGATTCATTCACTATATATTTTCAAAATATTTATAAAATTGCTTTTTCATAAAATAGCTGTTGCATGAGCTGTTAAATGAATTGTTAAATCTGCAGTAAATATTCATTTATGTTGCCATTCAGTTACTCGAATTTTTTTTGAGCTGAATTGATTTTTGAGACGATGGATTAAAGATAAAAGGATTTAAAATATTGAAACCTATTTGTAAGGCCAAAATGTTATCTCATAACTTTGTTATAGCATTAACTAATGGAATAAATTACATAGCTCTGTAGTTTTTGGAGATTTTCAACTGCACTTCATTTTCTGATATACCTTTATTTACTGTTTAAATTTATGATAATAGTAATTATTCTTTCTGTGAAAGATAACGCTTTTGTGAACAATGGACCGAAATATTTTTAAAATAAATTAAACCGAAACATCCACAGATTCAGCGCAAAGATATCTTCAGTCTATTAATTTTTTTTTGTTGCTCTACTAGTAATGTTTTAATCTGATAACTGATTCGCCCGTCGATCCATACGTTTGTAACTCGTACCGCCAACAGAAGAGGCAATAATCTCTGTAATCCATAAGCATAAAACTCCTGGATAAGATGGCCCTTCGGACCGAAATCTTCAAATGTTGTCCGTCATCGTTCATAACTCACCTTCAACAAATATATTCTCTGGTATGGCAAAAGGAAATAATACCAGAAGACTGAAGCAAAGCAATTCAGCTTTCAATTCCCTATAATAAGAAAGGACGTACTGCGACGATACCGAGGAATCATCCTACAGACGTTTTAGCGAAAATTTTTGCTTATTTTTTATTCAATAGATTTATGGAAATACGGGACAACAGGATGCGCCCTAATCAAGCTGGATTCAGAACGGGGCGCAGTTGTGCCGACCAGATATTTACGTTAAGAAGGATACTGTCTTTGATTCAATTGACAGAGCGGCTCTTTAGAGGGTGATGGAACGCGATGGTGTTCCAGAGAAAATCATTCTACTCATAAAGGCATTTTATGAGCGCAAGTCGGCGCAGGTCTATGTGTATATGGGGAATTGACGGTAGAGCTGGTGTCCGTCAAGGTTGTGTCCTTTCCTCTACAATATTTGACTATGCGATAGACTTGATAATGGGCATCGCTTGTCGGCATTAAAGAGGTGTGCAAATCAGTCCAGAACATAGCATCACAAACTTTAAATAGTCCATTGATGATGTAGTCCTTTTATTTATAATGAAATGCAAATAATGTTAAACAATGTGCCAATAACTGCAGTGAGAATTGGACTCAAAATCAGTGTAAATAAAACGAAAGTGTCTTCGTCTTATATGTAAGATGCTAATAAAATACCTATTTTTATTATTTCATTACCGATTGAGGAAATGCTTGATTTTAAATACCTTGGATCCATTCTAATCCCAAGTGGCCAGCCAAAGGATGATAACCAGGATGACGACAGCTAGAAATGTGTTTGTGTTATCAGCCTTCGACCATTCATGTTTAAGATATATTTTATGGGTGCATAGATACATTTTACTGATCGAGATAAGATCGCATGATTGTATCCATCTTTGCTCAAATATCTACATCAAACACCTATTAATAATATTATCGTAAGCGTCTCTTTCGTTGGTCAATGCATGTTCTTCGTCGTCCACGTCAGAAGTTGACGGATATTCGCTACTTGCCGAACCCTGTGATGATTCGCGTCAAAAGCCAAGATGGCCTATCAAGATATGGACTGATAGGGTCAGAAAAGATTTTGAACGTATAGGTGGACCAGTGATATATGGACTTAGACGATAAGAAAAGGCTTCTACTACTGCCGACGATGGCATCCGAGCAGTTTTGAGATCATATCATACGTTTACTTTTTCATTTTTGCATATTCAAATGTAATTTCAAATTGAAATTTATTGAAATTTTATTCAAAATGGTCGATTTTACATGAAACCCATTGAATTAGGAAAATCTTTTTATCAACTTTCGCACAAAATCCCTTTTGCTATTCTGCTGCAATTATGCATTTAAACAATTTCATTTAATATTATTATTATCATTATTACTATTATTATTATTATATTTCTGAATTATTCGATTAATTAAAATTCTAAAGAATTTTTATATGAATTAATTATATGAAATATAAGATGGATGGAATATATTTAACTACTCAGAATGTGTGAACACATGAAAATAAGTCCTTAAATAGTCATCAAAAAAATCCAGTGGAATCGAACCAATGATGTTCGTTCGACACCAGTCGAAGCCTAAATAATTCTATTACCCCAGTCCACTAGATGGATAATGATGAAAAATTTTATATATCTATAAATAACCGTCGATTATTAAAAAGACTATTTCGATCGAATTTTAAATAAATCTCTATCGAAATAATCAAAGGATTTCAAATTTTGAGAAAGATTTCTAGTTTTTAACGCAAATATATGAAATAATTATTATAATTATGATTACAAAACTTGAATTTTTTCTTTTTATTTTATTGAAATCAATTTCTGGTTAGGTTCTACTCCGCTAGCTATTTGTGCAGTTATTGAAAATTTTAAAGGGATATCATATCTGGGAATTAGAGAAGCACAATTGGATTGCCAGTACCATTTCTACTCGGCGACAAATTTACAAAAGGCACGCGAAGTATTGATGTTGAGGAAAATTTATGGGACTTTACGATAATATTTTATGTGATAATGTTCGATATTTCAATAAAGAATAACTTTATACTTCCTGATTACAGAAAAAGAAATGATTAATTATTTATAATATATAATATACAATCTAATATTTATAAAATTGTGTTTTTAATTTGATGGATATTTAAAAAAGCTTCATTCTTTTTCCTTCTCTTTAATGAAAAATATTATAATATTTAAGGGTGAAAATAATAAAAATTGACAAACTTGAAGCAAGTAATTTTTTTTTATAGAGAATTGAGCAAATGAACAAACAATTGAGCAAAATGAAATGAAAAAAACGAAAAATGCTTTTGAGAAATTAGACAAATAAAAACTAAATGTTACTTGTACAAAATTATTCATTATTATTCATTAATTCATTATTATTCTTTAAATCTTTATTATGCACTATAGTGGCTTTGACAAAAATTTCTCGTCGTACTAACAGCAAGTGGAACTGGCCTGAGCTAGCCAGAAATGACGAGCACTAACCACTACTTACTTGTGTTCATATGTAACATGTAATTTTATAAAATGTGTATGAATTTTTTTTATAAATGAACATCGAATTCAAAATGTGTTACCTATTCTTCTCGAACAAATGTTTTTTATGTTTTTAAACGATAATTTGTGGAGAAAAATTTAATCGAATTTAGTAAATTCTTTAATTTGTGAAGGATCGATTTTAATGATTTTTCATCTTTATTTGGTTCATTTATGAGTGGTTTGAATGAGAAATAAAACTACTTAGATAAGTCTTAAATTTTTATGGTTAAACATTTACCGCTTGCCATATTCGAATGGCTAAAAAAGTTCGCTCTTCATTTCGAGTTAGGCTAGTTCTGTTGACATTAGTAACGTTTTCACCAGATAATATCTCTTGGTGACAGCATTACAAGTGAGGAACCAGCATCAGACCAGCACTTTCTTAACCACTCCAATGTTAATAATCGAGTGAATTTAAATTAGTTTCAAGGAATCGTCGCAGAATTATGGTCAAAGAATTATTTAATTGTCAAATAGTGAATGAAGGAAACTATGGCGTCGATACAAACGTTTTAAAACTCCAATCTGATCCATCAAATGAGGCAAATAATGCGAAAATACAGAAATTTTCCACAATGTGTGCAAGTTTCAATTTTTTAAAATTAAAACTATTATATTTTAACTATTAATCACTATATAAATTTTAAATATTTTTTAAAATTTTTTGACACTTTGTTTTAAACAAATCGCTCTTTTCATCCCTTCTTTATTCCTTTAATTTGCTACTTCGATATAACTTTTCTCTAGACTTATTCAATTTGCATAAGAGTGACATGAAAATGAGGCTTTATCCTCATAATTTCTATCTCGTAAACAAACAAGGAACTTTCAGCTCATTGCCTTCGAATTTAATCATAGACGATCGCATACAAAATAATATAGATAATACGAATAAAATGGAAAAATTTTTTAAAGATGGACATTTTCGACGGGCAAAAGGGAAAAAACTGAGACTGTGTTCCGTGCCTAATGAGGAACAACCAGTCATGAATTTGCACAAAATCTCTAGGTATGTAAAAGGATTCTGTTGAAAAAAAACGTCTTAAAAATTGCATCGTATTTGCGTCAAGAGAAAATTCTCTATATTTTTCAAAATTTGTTGTTCGAAGGCAGGATAGAATTTGTTCAACCTCACATCAGCAATGGGATACTACCTTCAGCAAAAGTAAAGCTTCCATTGAAAAGCCCAGATCGTGCTGGCGACCCATTTTTGTTTATGTTTCTACTACGAGCTGATTTCCTGAACTTCACTTCTCACCGTATCATAGAGCAAACTTAACTGGAAAAGATTTAAGAATATTTTCACATCAGCATCTATTTATAGTTTTCTTTTTTTATTCTGCTGCATGCATGCCGAAATCAAAAAGTTATTTAATTATTATATTATATTAATTATTTTTTATAAATTATAAATTATTTTTTTATAGATCAGTAATTCCCACTAGATTCGCAGCAGTTCCTTCAATGATGACGACTAGAATCGATATGGGATTGCTAGGGACAGCAGCTTCTCACGATCGTAGTTTATATGGTGGCATAGATGTTGTTGATAAACCTTCAGTCACAAATAGAAATAACAGGTTTTTTTTAAGCAACTATTTCTAATTCAAATATGAATCGACCACCACCGATTGAAATATAATAATAATATTCATCAAATATTAATTTTCAGTGAATTATCCGAAAATGAACTGCAAAACGTGGAAGCAGAAGTCCCTCTTAATCTATGTTTTCCTAAGCTCTCGATCAAAAGCTGGGCTTCAATGGCCACGTTAGTACTGGCAAATTTCTTTAGCACAATAATATTTAGTTGCATTGCGCCATTTTATCCTGAGGAAGTAAGTAATTTGCAACCATATTAAAAAAGTAACATGCTAAATTGGAATTCAGATAATTTTTTTCGTATGAAAACTGCAGTATTTATTCACTGGATTTAAATTATTTCGTTGAGTAATCCCACCTATTCTGCTTCTGGTGTAAATCTTTTTTTAAAAAATTCGCGTTCATTCATAGTTCTATTCTCAAGCATCCCGCCATCATTCGAAGATCCTCGTTGAATATTTTCGAACCAGCTAGATATTTTTAAACAATATTCTGACCGAAAAAAACTTGCCGGTCTTTGCTTAAAGTTAAAATAAAGTTTCCACTAAAGTACCACTCAATCCAGAGTATGCAACGACAGCAAAAACCTGCGATCTTGAATTTATTTTTGTTTTTGAAGACATCTTTTCTTATCTTTTTTTAAATCTTTTCTTGTTTATAAGTAAATTAATTTTAATTAATGAATTTGAAAATATTCGTCAATATATAAATAAATTTGCGCTCCTAATTTCTTAATTCTTAATTTTCTTGCTTAGTTTGCGGAATTCCTACAATTAGATTTTATATTTTTTTTTCCACAGACGTCACAAAATTGGACTATTTTTCTCAGGAAATTTTATTTTAGCAAAAATATGGCTTTTAAAATTTCTATGAATTTCATTTTTTATGCTGAAATAAATTTGACGCACTAAGGAAATTCAGGCTAAACTCAAGAATATGAATAATTTTGATACTGGTGCGGTTTTTGGAATTTTTGGTCTTATCACTTTCATCGTTGCTCCACTTTTTGGCCGTTATGTAACTATTAAATTTATTTACTATTACTATTATTATTTTTTAAGTAATACGCAAAAATGATGGATAAAAAATTGAATATGTAAAAATAATATTGAATATTATGCATTTTTAAGCATCATTTGCCAATTTGCAATTTTACCAATTTTTGGAAGAATTCATATCGTTAAATACCTATGATATTGTATCGATGGAATATTTTTAATATTTTTAGTGTTTTTAGATGGTGCATATTGGCTCAAAAAATATGCTCGTTTCTGGAGTATTATTAAGCGCGCTTACTTCTTTACTTTTTGGGTAAATTAATTGAATTACCTTATCTGTTAATGTGTTTTTAGGCTTTGACATTACATTAAAATTCCAGTCGAGTTAATTATTTAAATTTATTCTTTATTTATTTATTATTTAAATTTATTCAGATTTATTACTTGGATCCCTTCCCGACAGATTTTTTTATGGGCTTCATTGCTTATTCGTGTTGGACAAGCGTTAGGAGATGCTGCTTTTGTAACTTCATCATTTGCAATAGCTGCAAAATATTTTCCTGGAAGGGTCACCACTATCTTTGTATGAATTTTTTACCAAGTTTTTCATCATTTTTGGACCAAAATTTAGCCGATCTCCACTAATTTGATTTATGCCTTACTAAATCGTTACAAAATGCAATCAAGTTGCATAAAAATGAGAGAATTCGGCTGCAACGCGGAAGGTTCACAAGTTTTTTCACCTAATTTAATGAATAAATAAAAATAGCTCTTATAATACTCATGGATATTAGGCGTTAAATTTGCTTTGTTGATTGGTTCTGTTACAGTGGTAATGACCAAAAATTTTTTGCAGCGATTGAGTTATTTTTATTTATTTAGCGAGATTATTTGTATAAATGTGTCGATAAAAATGCCTCCTATGCTTCATCAATTTTATCTTCGAAATATTTTTCATTAATATTTTAAGGGAATACTGGAAGCATTTTCCGGAATAGGTTTCGCCGCTGGTCCATTGTTTGGTGGCACTTTATATGAATTAGGAGGATTTCAAATGCCATTTTTAATACTAGGATTTATCTTATTTATTATAAGCATATTATCATATTTTTTGGTGGAAAAACTTATAGGTAAGATCTTCGAATTTTATTGATGCAAAATTTTCCTATACGGACCATTTATTCCTTATAAATTCATACTAGAGTCTAATGCATTATGAGGCTTGCTAAGAGCTGAGAGCCGTTGCAATTTTTTAAATTTTTAAATTTATATTTGAGCTTTTCCAAAGGAATTGCAAATTTTCGAGAGCTAATATTCCTGAGCTGAAAAACTTGCAGAATTTAATTTTTAAGATGAAACATGTATCGAAAACAAAAGCATAAAAGGCATATTACGGTTGCCAGTTATATGGTTTATGATTATTGGAGTGGCCTTAAGTTCCATATCAGAATCCTTTCTAGATTCAGCTTTAGCGAATCACCTCAACTCGGTCAGTTTATTTGGCCTTATTCCTATAGAACCACTTGTAATTTACCTCAAAGTAATACCGGTATAAAAGAACTACAGTATTGAAAAGATTGACTTGGTCTTTATAATTTTCTTCTTACCAGATATTGCTAATCGACAATAAGATTGTAATTTAGTTTAACTTATCAGCAACTTTTGTTGGATTTATTTTTTTTCTGTGTGACGGTATTTACACATTAACAGTGCCTTTATGGAGTTTTGTGCTTAATCGATGGGATTATTGCAATCTTATCATTTTTTTTGGTTTAATTTCTGAAGCAATCGCGATGTTTACGATAGGTCCATCGCCATTCTTATTTTTTAATAAGTAATTTTTTACCAATTTTTTAACTTTTTCTATCTCTGAGTTCATTTTTGATTTTCAAATGCTTGCTTATTCAAATCATGTTTTAATTAAGAAAACGAAACGGAGAAAACGAACCTTTTCAGGAATCTCTTTATCATTGGCATTTCCCTAATTATTGTCGATGTTGCTGCAGGCGCTGTTTGTATTCCTGCATTTCAAAATTGTTTTGAAGTTATTAGGTCAATTTTTTAAAATGCTCACAAGAATTATTCTTTCTTATTTGCCCAAATACTTTCAGTAAATTGATCAGAAATATTTTTAATTTTAAATTTTAATTCGTTTAAAGAAGAAAGAGAAGAATTTGACTATTTCCTAAAAATTCAAGGAAATTAATCGAAATTTTATAGAAAACATGGCTATGAAGAATCATTGCAGATATATGGTTACATTTCCGGAATATTTCAATCAGCATTTTCTCTCGGGTTTGTCGAAAATTTATGTGATTAGATTCTTCAAAACTTTTTTATTAATGATAAAGGCATGAAACTGACAGTGATTTGTATTACCATGTTGAGAGGCAATGCAATAAACCTATTTAAAAAACCCATGTGCTGCTGGCACCTTTACAACTTCAAGATTTCTTAGTGAAACTTCCTAATAACTAGCAGAACCAGACTAATCAAAAGTAGTAAGTACTAAACACTAATCACTAATTATTTATTTTCAGATTAATCGCTTTTAAAGAATGGATTATAAATATAACTAACTCCATTATTTATTAAATTTCTTATATTTCTTTTTATTCCCATAATTCTAATAAATTTTGAATTTTAAATATTTTCAAGCGTGGTTGTTTGTAGAATGTTTTTTGGACCAACTGCTGGAGGTCTTAGTGTTGAATGGATTGGTTTTGAATGGACTTGTACGATTATTGCGTTTTTTCACGTCACATTTGTAAAATTTTTGGATTTATGAAAAATATAGGATCTGTAAAGCCAAGATATATTTTTCTTATTTCAGCAAAAAAATTCATTATTTTGAAATTTATTAACTAAATGAAAGAATCTATATGCTCAAATTAGAATCGACCTTATGCTTTGCCCAATAAGCGATTTTTTTTCCTTGATTCCTTTTTCCACAAATTTTATTTGCCATTTTCTTCTCTGGTTTATCCTTTTACTTAAAAATTTAATACACTTTTGAATTTAGGCAATCGCCTTGGTTATTTATGTATCAATTCCAACAATAGTTTTATTACGTCAAAAGAATACTCAAATCCACTCATCCATTATTGATGTTCATCAAACAACCCGTATATGAGAAAGTTATAAATATATCTATTTGCTCAAAAATTGTGAACTATAATACAAACTAATAATCTATTTTTTCTGCAATAGCCTACTTATTAAAAACCTTATTCTCATATATTTATATATATATTTTACTTCATATATTTTTTTATAAAAAATGAAAAATAAAATGAAATTTTACTTCAATTTACTTTATAAAACAAATAAATGGTTAAAATTTCGAAAAACTGATTTTTTCATTAAATTTATTTATATTTATGAATGTTTTATAATATCAACACGTGTAAATGGCGAGGGCTCACTCGGCTCATTGTCGGTTCGGTTAAAATTTTTTACCAAGGAGCCATTTGGTGAGAGAAGTAAGTGAGTGAGTCACCTGGATTTTTTTAATAATTTCACTCCTTTCGGAATTCGGAATTCAGAAAAACAAAAAACGAATTCTTATCCTTTAACATGGTAATCTGAACCACTATCTACTCGGCTTCTGCTTATAAAGAACTTATAAAGTACAACTTTCACTAATTACAAATAAAATTTTTTAACCAAGATTAAGAAATGTATTAGCGAGAAAGCTCGTCCTAAGAACGAGTAGGAAGGTGAAAAAGAAAATAAGTCATCCTTCAGGCATAATAGAAAGAAATTTTCCCTTAATTATTTCTCAGATCGAAAAGTGAAAGTGAATTTACCATTAAACGCTTCTTTTAAATAAATTTTGCCTATGCCTTCTCTTATCCTTCTAATAACTTCAACCAATGCTAATTTGTTAGCTGCAGTGGAGACGACTATAAAACGTTTCTAGATGTTCTCGCTCGAAGCCACGCCTGAAGATTAATGCATAATATAGAAAAATCGTTCATGACTAACAGGAAAAAAGACTTGGCAAGCGCCGCAGGAAAAAGGAAAGTTTTTGGTATAAAAAGAATAAATAATTTTAAAAAGCAAAATATATAAGAATATAAGCAAAGTGTACATATATTTTCGCACCTTATAAAATGTAATAATAATATGGTAATGCATTCATATTCACAAAAGGAGAAAAGGAGAAAACTTCGATGCTGTTGGATCATTCCGATGCAGTATCGCGGCATTAATTTGAGCGAACGCGTCTCCTTCATTATCCCACTTCATAAATTTCTAAAAAAATTAATAATTGTGGAAAAACGAAACACTGGAAATAAAGCGGCCAGTTGACAAGCAACGTGAACGCTCCACGGCCCCCACATCCAGCCGAGCTGAATTTTTTTAGCATATAAGTGAAGCAAATTTTTACCCCCCAACGCTGAAGTTTCTGCGACCACGTGGTACAAACTGCCATACCGCATTTTGTTTCAGCCAAAGAAATGTTTCAGCCGAAAAGGACAAAACTCATTAAAGCTGCAGAATAGTGGTTATAAAACGCATCGGAATTTTGCTGTTTAAATTTTGAAAATTTTGTGCTTATTTTATTTATTGAGAAAAGCGCGGTTTTTCAGAACTTATTTGGACAATAATGGTTGTTTAATTTTCAGATGGCAACTAATTTTGAACATTTCATCGGCGGTTTTGCCGGTGGAATTGCGAGCACTCTGGTTTGTCATCCGCTTGATTTGCTCAAAATTCGCTTTTCAGGTTCCTTCCTTTCCTCTTTTCGTCGCTTCAATCCTCTGCCCAGTTGAATGAACTTAAAATGCTCCGCAGTTGTGCATTCAATGAAAACTGACGCGAATCGTGTCATTTGGAGGCAAATGAAGGGGCTGAAAATGGTAAATCAGCGGTGAAAGGTCAACGACGAGGGAGTGCAAAGGCGGAGATGCGCATGCAGACCTGCGACGCGGCGGCTCTGCTCGGGCGAAGCGCAAAGGGGGGTCCACGGTTTGCCTCTTAGGACTGCCTCATATGTTTTTCTGTCTTTTGTGAAAGTCTTCTTTGTTAATTGACTGCTCGCCCACTGACTGCTCCTTAAAGATGGTGATTAATCAAGTATGCTTATGGATTAAAATTCTTTAAAAAAATTGCTGCTCCTTTTTTGCAGCAAACGAAGGGAAGCGGTGTCGCCCGCAATACAGTGGTTACTTGGATGCAGTAAAAAACATCTATCGGGTCGAAGGCTTGCGCGGTCTTTATCGAGGCCTCTCTCCGAACCTTACTGGCGCCGCCTTATCATACGGTTTTTATTTTCAGTTGTAAGTTCAGTTGCTATTATACGTGAAAAAATTTTTTATTTGTCATTTTCGATCGACTTCCATTCGTTTTTTTGTTTTCAGTTATTTTTTATTTATTGTTTATTTCGTATTATACCTTTACAGTTATCATATAATGAAATCAAAATGTGAAAAATATGAATTAACGACAAACACAGAAACAGTGGATAATTTCTTTTTGGGACTGGCTTCTGGTGGATGCGTTTTAGCGTTAACGAATCCTATTTGGCTGTCAAAGACGCGGCTCTGTTTGCAGTATGAAATTCAGTCTGATAAAAAATATTCTGGTATGGTGAACTGTATTTATTCAACTGCAAGAAATGATGGCATTAAATCGCTTTATAAGGCTCCTTTTTTTATAATATTATGTTATAAATGTTTGTTTATTTTTTGTGCAATTTCTATTTCTATCGATTATTAATAATGTTGCCTTCTTATCAGCTGCAGTGTTAGTTTTTCTCAGTTCTTATTTCAGTCATTAAAAATTTTTATTAATGCAATTAAAGGATGAGAGTTAATTAATGGATTTTAGGGTTTCCTTCCTGGATTGTTTGGTACATCTCATGGTGCTCTACAGTTTATGTTATATAATTATTTTAAAAATATTCGATTTAAAGAGCTTCAAGTGTCTTCTGATTATAAATTGGTAATTTTATAGCTTGTAATATATTTAAATCAGATATATTTTCGAATTTAATGCCTTTTTATTTCAAACATTTATTTCCTCTATCAATTTCTTATACTGGTTTATTAAAGTAATAAAATTTTATTAGGGAATTATTTGGATAGAAATAAGATTGAGTCGATAGTATCATCCTAATTTTTGGCAGGTTTACTTCCATCGGGGAGGGATAGAACTCCATCATCGGTATTCCGAAATAACAATCCATTGAACCATTCTAAGTTTTACGTCTGACTTTTTGCAGAGTACATTCGAATATTTATTGTTTTCTGCGGGTTCTAAGATTATTGCTACATCAGCAACATTTCCCTACCAGGTATTAAGGACTCGTTTACAGGTTTTTTTTTTTCAGTTCTTTGTCGTTTTACCCGATTTAATGAAATAATGAAAAAGCGATTTTAAGTTAAAAATTTGGATTCTTCTCAGCTCATACCGTGGGTTTTATACTTATTCTGCCAGTTCCAACAAATTTCATAATTTTATTCGCAAAATATTTTATAAGTTTTTTGTTTTACATTGCGTCTTTCATTTATTTATTGTATTTCAGGATTATCATGTTTCTTATAACAGTATAAGCGATCTTATCGTGCAAATAGCTAAAAGAGAAGGTATTCGAGGTTTTTATAAAGGATTATTAGCTGGTAACTTGCGCCAGTTACCGGCAGCGATTGTGATTTTTTTAACTTATGAAAATGTTCGGCATATTATTCGTAATTCTTAATTATGATTTTATGATAGACTTTACGATTTTATGATGCACTTTTACATTCTTATTTTATTTTCTTTTTTTTCTTGGTTTATTGACCGTTTTGTTAAGTTTTAAATTGTAGTAGGAAACTTTTTTTTAGACCATTCACTCGTTAAATTATATTATATTAGATTATTATTTTTGTTTATTTATTTATTTATTGTTTTAATGATATTTAATAAAAATTTTGCTGCTTACCATATCTAAAAAATTATGGAGGCATAAGGATTAATAATCTCGTCTTTCATGCAAATGTATTTTTTTTCTTTTATTCAAATTCTTTAAGGTAAGATGTAAGTTGTTGGCACGGTCAAAATTTTATCTTTAAAGTTGACTGATTAAACCGAAAAACTGAAGACAATAATAAAAAGAAAAAAGGCAGAAAATTGAAAAAGTAGAATATTTCAAAAAATTTCAAAAAAATAGGAGAAAATGTTGGGCATGTATTCAAATTTATTTATTAAAATCCAATAAAACTGAAAACAAAATTGATAATGGCTCACCGTATGATATATTTATATTTGTTCGGTAGGTGTGGGACCTTTACAAATTTGGTGTCAACCTTTTTCTGGAAATTAATTATAAGTGAATAGACCTTCATTAAAAAATATTCTAACGTAAAAATAAATTAATGTAATGAATAGAAGTGAATAAAAATAAACTCCCCTGGCGAATCGAATCATTAATTCAAAACAAAATTTGGAAATAAGGATTTAGGGGTTTAGTTTTCCGTACTGGATTTAAAGTCAACCTGTTCCCAGGCTTTTGATTTGTTTTAAAAGGTTAATAAGTTCCTATTTACAATGGTCCGCGGCCGTTCTATTACAAATATCATTTTAATGAGGATCAATTTTAAAAGCATGGCATGAATATGCAGAAAAAGGACACAAAAAAACAAGGAAAAAAGTAAAAATTGATAAATGGAAATATAAAAAATATAAATGGAAACTTTGGTTTAATAAAAATTGGAAAAAGGATGAAACCAAGGTCCACCACTGTTCCAGGAAACGTTAGTTTATTCTTGGCCGAGAGTGAATGATTGGCCGTTGGCTTGAAAAGGTTCCAAAATTGAAATGATGAGACAAACGCAATAAATTGACTTCGGTTTCTCCCAAATAAATATTAATTTTATTTTGTAATATTAACGACTGCATTTTTGACAATTGTCAATTCAAAAATTCCAATAAGCACTGTGGTTTTGGAAGTCTGATGCACCATGTAAAAAAAATAAATAAATAGAAAGAATAGCCTCTGCCATGTAAATGTATTTCTTTGAGCAGGGAGTAAAGGAAAGGCCGATGAGACGCTACACGACCAGAATTTTATCCTCAAACATGTATAACTGAACCATAGAACCGAAAATAACAATAAAAAGAAAAAAGTATTCAGAAGAATTCAGAACAAAAAATCAAATTTCAAAAAAAACCTCGCGAAAAAGATCGGAAAAAGTTTCTGCTCAAATCCAATTAAATCTAAGAATTAAAATCAAACAAAAAGATCATATCGAATTATATGGAACTGCCAAATCGCCCAAGCACACGATAAAAATAATTCGGTGGATATGGCGCCGTTGGCGAATAAAGTAATTCAAAGTGGAGATCAGTGCATTTTCGGAAATTAATTATAAGTGATTAGGAAGTTGACCCAAATCTGTATCCATAAACTTAAGGCCAATAAGAAGAAGAAGATGGTCTTCGGGCTGAACTCTTTAAGTGTTATCCATCGTTCTTTCATAATACCTTCAACAAATGTACTTTCTGGTATTGAAAAAGAAATATTACCAGATGATTAGAGCAAAGCAATTATTCTTCTCCCAATTCTCAAGAAAGGTGATAGGACATATTGCGCGACAATTATTGAGGAATCAATCTGCTAGACGTCTAAACGAAAATTTTTGCTTCCCTTTTACTCAACAGACTTATAGAAGTACGAGATAGCAGGATGCGCCCTAATCAAGCTGAATTCAGACCGGGGAGCGGTTGTGCTGACCAGATATTCACGTTAAGAAGGGCGTTGGAACATCAAGTATCTGCAACCAACTGTCAAGTGTTTCATAGACTGCGGCCACTTTCGATTCAAATAATACAATGGCGCTTTAGAGGGTGACAGAATGCGACGATGTTCTAGAGGCCATACGACTCATAAGGCATTTTATGAGCGTACATCAGCGCAGGTCTGTGTATATGGGGAACTGGCAGACTCTTTCGAAATAAGAACTGGTGTCCGTCAAGGTTGCGTCCTTTCCCCTACAATATTCAACTATGCGATAGACTGGGTAATGGACACCGCTTGTCGGCAGTCAAGAGTTCAGAACATCATATCATAGATATTAAATAGTCCTGTCCTTTTTATGGCTGATGATTTAGTCCTTTTTATGACGAAATGCAAGTAATGCTGAATAACTTGTCAGAAAGTGCAGCAAGAATAGGACTCAGGGTCAATGTATACAAAACGTAAGCCTTTCTTCTTATGTGCAAGAGAAGCTGATAAAATTCTTCCAAATTCATTGCCAGTCCAGGAAGTGCCCGATTTTAATACCTTGGGTCCACTCTAATACCAAATGGCCGGGCAAAATACGATATCACAACTCGGCAGCCAGAAATGCGTTCTTCCGGTTGACGAAACCTTTATGGAGCCATCGTTACCATTAAAACGAAAAACAGCATTTATATAGCCGTGATTCATTCGATCTTGCTATATGGCTCTGAGACATAGCCAATAAGAGTGGAGGATATTAAGAAGCCATCTACCTTTGACTACTATTGTCTAACGTACATTTTACGGGTCCGTCGAGCGGATAAAATACCACATGATATCCATCTTCGTTCAAATATCACTTGCACGCCTTCGATGGTTAGGGTACGCTCACTTCATCCACCACAAGAGTTATCGCATATATATCGTTACTTGCTAAACCATGTCATGATAGCGCCAAAAGCAGGGCAGACCAATCAAGAGCTGGACTGGTACGGCCAAAAAAGATTTTGAACGTATAGGTGGACCAGCAATATATGGACTTAGACGATGGAAAAAGGAATGGCTTCTATTACTGTCGACGATGGCATCTGATCGCGCCGCTTGAAAGCGTCCCTTGTAACTGTTGGGGCCAGTCTAACCAGTAATGGTGAGAGCTGTTAGAAGAATGGGAGCTGACTCCCATTTAAAAATGCGTTTTAATACAAAAATTAATTAAAATAATGATCAGCTCCTCTGGTGTGTTGGATAAATTCTAAAAAATCACAATATTCGATGTCTTCAGATAATTTTCAAAACCAATGAAAATTTTGTTTAACATTGCCACGAAGAAAAAAGGGAAATAAAATTTATTTGAAGTAAATCGATTTTCAGTGGAGACTTAGAGCGTTTGGATTGCACATAACTTATCCCACTTTATAAGTAATATTTGGTGGCTCATTTACATCAATTATACGAGTTTTCCTTGCTTTAAAATATTAATATTAATATTAAATGTGATTTTTTTCAAATATGCGTTTAGAAAGAAAGGGTGAAAATTTTTTAATTTCGTTCAATTATTTCCTAATGTTTTTATTTTTTATTTTTTGTTTTTATCATTGCTGGATGAAGTCAAAAAAAATTATTCGACAAATCATTTTATACTGGTTTCATTGCTTCTGATAAGAAACTATCGTTGTTGCTCATTTTGGCTGCAATTTTACAAAAAATCAAATAAATTATGATGGCGTGATCGTCGTCCATCGTGTAACGAATTGTAAAACATCACCAATATTCTCCATAGGCTTAGTTTTCTGAGTTATCACTAATTTTTCCCAAATATCTTGTTCTGCCACAATAGGTGATAAACCAAATTTTTTCATTTTTTTCACTGGATATCCTATAATATAATATTTGCAAAATAAAACAATAAATAAACTGTCATGCAATCGCTTTGGTTCTTCCCATATGGATAAAGAAGTATGGAAGTAATGCGAATTTTAAGTGAAATTTTTCAGATTTAAGGTTTCATTCGAAATTTTAAATTTTAAAAAGAGTTTTGATATTTTATTTTCGAAAACATCGATGGAACCTGATATAATACAAGGCGGATATGTCGTACCATCTGCACCAGTAAGACTGCTTTCGAAGTTTCCATTTTTATCAAGCGGTAATGTTCGATCCATATCTTTCTCCACTGATATTGCGAGTATCCACTCTTTCACCTCTTCATGTTCTTCATTCTATTTGAATTGATAAATGGAGTTATTTTATAAACTGTTTTTATTTTCATAGAACGTAGAGACAACCACAAATCGTTTATTTTTTATAAAAAGTGCGAATTTGTATACAAGAATGTATGAAGAATCATATATGAATATAAGAAATTCGATATGGCTTAAAAATTAAAGATAATTAATTAAAGATGGTTAAGTTTAATTCTGTGAATGAATGAATTGATTAATAAATTTAAATATTTGGATAATGTAAGGTACCGATAAGAGCAACGATTCCGGAAGCGATATTTCTTGTGGTATATCCGTTCCTTCAAAAAGTGATGTATCCACAACAGATGGATCTCGCTCTTCTATTGCATCACATAAATCCAAATAATGATTTAGGAAAATAAACGCCAGTCTTTCCCGATTTTCTTTTTTCTAAAGTAAAAAAATATTGTCATGGTAAATGATTAATTTTCCATTAAAATTATCAATATTTTTAAATAAAATGCTTAAATAGATAGGGAACTGAATTATAAGATGTTATCCTTTCGACAAAGTTTTTTGAGACAGGAAATATGGGGTTTGCATGAGAATATCGCTTTTGAAGACTGACAACTGGCAAAGAATAGGAATTAGGTCCATGATGCTCGAAGCATTTCATTTGACCTTTTTCAAATTTCTGTGATACCTGCTGATGCACTGTAAAAAAAAAACAAATACTCTGCATGCTATTCCAGCATTATAAAAAAGTTTATCAGCTCGAACAAGGTCACTATATCGGAGGAGACTAATATTTATTTGTTCAATGATTTGTTCCATATCGTCATTATTATACTGCATAAGTGCACAACGAAGAGCGCTATAATGTGCAGCTTTTAAATATCTCTCGAAGATCTACAAAAATTTTATCAGATTATTCAAATTATTCAATTATCTTTTATTCAAATTTACTTTTTCTAGTTATTGCTGTTTATCTAAAAAATTTATCTAAATTTATCTAAATTTATTCATCGGAAATTTATCTAAAAAAGCAAAAAATAAATCGTATTATGTTTAAAAATAAAATTACAACAATAAATATGTATGCGAATTATAATATAATATAATATAATATAATATAATATAATATAATATAATATAATATAATATAATATAATATACTAAAATATAATTTAATAATAATAACAAATTTAAGGGGGCTAACTGTGTGGATAGAGCAGTTAAAACCACTGTGTTAAAAGACAACAATTCTCCTGCTTTTTCCTTCCTTCTTCTTCCTATTCCCCTCCTCCAACTTTTAGAGGAGAACTTACCATTAAAAAATCCGGATCCATCAATACTTTATTGCCAAGTGAAAATTTCTCCTGGCAAAAATTTCTAATCGTACCAACAGCAGGCAAATCCAGCATAACCACAAATTTACTTATTTGTTTGATAATATATTTAAAAGATAAAAAATGAAGTGATCAATAGCCGAAATAATAATAAATTAGATGATTATTAAAAGATTAAATTTGATTTCTGAATAGTTTTAGGGAATTACTATTTTATCATCAGAAGTAACTTCATGATCAGCAGCCAAATTACATGAAAGATTTAACAACATATTGCGAACAGAAGACCATATTTCGTAAGCATCGGATCTATCAAATTCTCTATTATTGAATATCTAAAATAGTAGAAAAGTAGTAAATGCAACAACTACAATATTTCTCCAGCTTTTTCTGATAATTTCAAGATAAATAGTTTTTCATTTAAATTCTCTTTTTTTCAGCTTAAAAATACTTCGCGATTGCACCAACTAACTTTCTATCGCCACAAATCTCATCGAATTTTCAGCAATTTTCAGCAATCAAAATTTTTTTAGAGCACTAATCGGCTAGACTTGCTCCTCTGGCTTACTTCAGAGATATCAAGGAGTCTATTGGCGATAGAAATACAGGTGAATCACCAGCGTTAAAAAGATTTTTGGACAGGTTTAAAAGCATTTTACTCCTTTCAGAAGTAGAACCCCAGTATCCGCGGAACGAACCTCCCTCTCTCTCCAGAATGATGGGTCGGCGGATTCGAACCAAGCCTCGATTCTCGTTGGCAATTATCTTGCCATTGAGCCACCAACGAATTTTCGTAAATTATTGTATATTTTGTTTTAAATTAATTTATTTTCGCTCACTTGAATTATCAGTTTCCGATACATCTCAAAATTATTTGGATTACTCGATATTCCATATTTTTCTAAAGTTTTTATGGCTTCGATATATTTGTGGTGTGCGACTAGATTCTCGGCATAGAGTGCTGCATATTTTTCCGTCAACGGCATAATCTACAAATATGCTCAAAAAATCTATTTTCACCTCTTAGAGAGAATAAATGTCGAATGGCGAAGACTACAAATATGCAGGTCATCCGCATCGCACCTGATATATATTTTTTACAAGCGAGAGTATTGAAAAAGTTAGAGAGATAAGAATTGGAAAGGGATATTAGAATATATCATAGAATAATAGTAGAATGCTTCATTTGTGAGAAGCACAATAAAGATATCTGCTATTTTGATAGAATGGAAGAAAAACATAGATCTTGCCTACGATCACCTCAAAATTTTTGGAGACCATTTTCGGTCACTTTTGGCTTATTTTATTGAAAGGGAAGGCGAGAATGGAGGAGGATAGTTGTGAGAAGTAAGCTGGGGATCTAAAGAGTGTAAGTAGAAATGTTGTTGCGCTACTGCTATTTTTCCATTTCTTATAGATTTACCATTCGGGTACACGCCACACCAATTTATAAGATCTCCTAATATTTTATATGTTTCTTTATATTTTTGTGTATATTTTAAATAAAAGGTTTATAAATAAAAAGTTTAATTACCCAAATTTGAGGGAGGGTCTTTCGCAATGCATATACATAACGAGAACGCTGGCCGAAGAATAAATATATAGTGATTTTATTAGTCAAGAAAATATAGACGTGGATCAGACTGGAAAGTACATATTAGAAGTGGGAATCGCCGAGCTCCACTTTTTTCTGTACGGCGGGTTTAAGTAAGCTATATCGGGTATGTAAAATATTGCTTTTTTCTTAGAAAATTCTTTCATACTTACGTTTTGCTTTTTAGCTGTTTCTAGAGCTTGTTGCCATTGTCCTCGCTCAATTAGAAGGTCAATTGCACTGATAGCATCGACATCGATTAACTCGCTTAATCGATTTTCCAGTTTCAAGGATTCCTTATATTTTTCGTCAACAAAATTAGTCATTTCTGGCAGTAATTCCTCAGCAATCTGCGAAAGAAACCGATTATTTATCAGTAAATCTAATTATTTCAAAAAGATGGAAAGATTGCTCATCCGGACTTTTCTTAAATGATTCTATGATACGAAAATGTTTCATCCTTGAACTCAATAGAGTAGGCCAAACCAGAAATGGTCCTGGAATGAAGAGGGAGAAAATAATGGAAATTTTGAAGGCTAAAACCAGTAAAGCAGATAAGTACCATACTATGAACATCATTAATGCAGTGATAGCACACTAATAATGATAATGACAAAAATATTTCTGAATGTTAATATAATAGGAATTTAATAGTACAAAAAATAAGAAAATAATCCCTCTTTTCCATTGAATATTTTCTAAATTTTTGAAAATTTTCATAAAGAAATCTGTATTTCATGATCATTTAAATAATTTTGAGAATATATAGAACCAACTTTTTTCGCTTTATTCCACTGCTTCCCAAGTACCAAAGTTTTGATAGCATTTTCTAATTGATTTGTTGCAATAAAAATTTTCGCAGCCTCATTGAAACTAAAATGGCAAGAAAACAATCCTTGATTTTTCAGCAAACATAAATTACTGAAATAAATATGCCTTCAACTTTCAAACTAGAAATTACTTTTCTAAATATGTGAAAAATAGTTTTGAAATTTGATCGTTACCAAAAAATTACCGTTTAAACTTCATAAGGCACTCAGTTATTTCACTGACGATTTGAAAATGTTCATCTGCTAGAAATTTAATCGTTAAATCAGCAGCCTAGAAAATAAAAATTGAAATAATTTCGAAAAGAGTTTATTGTTTTTTTGGATATTTCTCTAGGTTGGTCGCGAAATTACTCCGTCGCTGCGGAAATTTATCATGGATAAACTCTAATTCTTTTGCAAAAAAGTGAAAGTGACTTATGAACAACCTTGTACATATTGGTAATTAAAACTTTAATGAGATGTAAGCTCCACCTTTAATAGAGCAGTAATAATTAGATCGGCATCTGAAGTTTCTTTTACTTTTAGATAGCACTGAACAGCGCGTTGATATTCGCCTTGGGTTTCAAATTCTTTCGCTTGCGCTATTAATGAATGTACACCTTTGGCACCAGATTTCAGTAGAACCTCTTCATATTCTTCCTGCATTTCAATGGAAATTTATCATGAAAAACGAAAATGAAAAGTTCTGTGAAAAATTCATTGTGTAAAAAATGAATTAGTTTAATGTAAATCGTTGAATTTAAAACAAAATTTAGTAAACAAAATTAAGAATGACCTGCGATTGAGCTAAATTCGATGGTATATAATCTTTAGCAATGCGAAGTGCATCATGCCACATTCCTAAATCCTTATAACATTGGAGAATTATATCTGCACGATTTGCTCGTAAAAGATAACTTTCAGCACGGGAATAATCCTTATTTTCAATAGCCAATCGAGCTTGGCCCATAAAAACATCACTTAAAGCTTCTTCGCAATGTTCCCTGAAGAAAATTGATTCTCTTATTAATTCTTCAAAGTCCAAAGTTGCTATCAAAGAATCAGTGATTACTTGGCGATTCTCTCAGCATTATCCCAATCTTGGCAATGGACATACATAAGAACTGCTTCTTTTGGCTTATTAGCTTCTATATAATGTTTTTCGGCCTTTTCTAAATCGCCTTCCTCTTCCAATTGCTCGGCGAATTTTAGATGAACGTAGGGAAATCGAGCACTCAATCCAAGACGACATAATTCAAAAGCAAAGTCAAATGCGCTAAAATTAAAAAAATTAAATTGCGATTATATTTAAATTAAAATATAAAAGATCTATTAATATAATTAACTATAATTTTTAAATAACTTAATAAATAACACAATAAACTAGAAAAATGATCTAATGATTCATTTTTCTTCAACCAAAAAATTGAGCAGGCCGGATTAGTAATAAGTGTATGCATGCGATTAGTTTGTATTTGGATTACTGAATAGTCTGCCTGTTAGGAGCAAAAATAAATTGCTTCCTAACACTTGGTTAAAATTTTTATTGACCATCTCAGACTTTAGTAATTGAACCAAGGGAAGAAACGACAAAAAAATTTAATTATAATTATAACCTAACCGAAATATAACTTAGCAAAACATTACATTAAAAATCATTATATTAAGTATATTATATTATATTATATTATATTATATTATATATTATATTATATTATATTATATTATATTATATTATATTATATTATATTATATTATATATAGTATTATATTATATTATATTATATTATATTATATTATATTATATTATATTATATTAATTAAAAGTCTAGTAAAAATTAAACATAATTAAATTCAACAAAAAATAAAATAAAATGGAACAAAAAATGATAAAAATAATTATTATGCGGCCTAAGCCTAAGCCCTAGATTCATTGAACAGATAAAAATCAGTATTACTGGTGCGGTAGAAAGGTGTGAATCATTCTTCCTCGCAAAACAATTCACGATTCATAAAAACTTAGTACGGTAAATTATATTCTGAGAGATAAAATTCAAATAATTTAAATGAACAATATATTACACAGAAAAAAGTGAGAAATTTTGGAAGAACGTAAAATATCATGCGTGAATAATGGTGAATAAAATTTCGGATTATTCGCAAATATGTTTGAATAATGCGAAATCAAACATAATTCGCGACAATAAGCCTATTTCCTTCCCTTTGAAAAGATTAAATAAACAGCCCACAAGTAAACAACCTGAAAATTTTTTCAGTAAACAGTCGTAAAAATGAAACCCGGGTGCATTTGGCAGTTCACTTTTACTTCTATCCCTAAGCGATTCGCTGAAAAATTCTTTTCCTAACAGTTAGTGTTTCAATGAAGTGGTTAAATTGCTGGAAGCATAAATGAAGATTAAAACAAATTGTTTGCCTAAAAATTTGAAATCTTTATTTTAATAATCAAGGCTAACATAGAACTAACCCGTTGTCACAGGCAAAGTCGATTGAATCATCTAGCAAATTGAACTTTCGAAGAAGCTTAATTGCTGCATCTCCACCGATACTCTTTGCCCACAAGTAAACAACCTGAAAATTTTTTCAGTAAACAGCCCTAAGATAGGTTATTCAGTTGAATATTTGTGAGCAAATTTGACTTGTTTCTGAACTGCTTCTCCTCCTTCTTGTTTGGCAAGTCTATATGCTTCGTTCCATTGCTCAGCTGTTCGATACATATTTAAAGCACTTTTCCAATCTCCAGCAAGAAGATACTGTTCCTCTGCGCCTTTAAGGTCACCTTTTTCTTCTAAATCGAGTGCCAAATGCTTATGAGTTTCCTGCAGATTTTTCCTTTTCTTGTATAATTATTCTTTCCTACTCACTGAACTTTTTTAAAACATTGACAAATACCTGAATATGTTCCGCATGATATTTTTCAACCAAATTCATCATCTCATCTATGCGGCCCACTTTTTTATACATAGCGATTGCTTTATTTGCTTGTCCAGTTGATATATAAAGCTAGAATGATTAATCATTCGATTAAAAAGTGGAAAAAAGTAAAAATTTAGAATAGTGAATTGCTCCAGCGATGAAAATACCATTCCACAGACAGTAGTTTATTGTATGATATGATACTCGTGATACGATACAGGATGAAGAGGAGCTTAAAAGGAAACCTGTTCGGCATCCTTCAACCTGCCAGAGTTTTCCATCTCTTCAGCCAAACGTCCATATATTTTAGAAGTTTCTTCTTCGCCAAGGAATTCTAATGCAAGCTGCAATGTTAAATAAAGAAAAATCAAGAAAAAATTATGATAAGTGATTTGACAACGATTTTTTTGATAACGATTTTTGATTTGACAACGATTTTTGTAATCATATGTATTGTTTCGGATTATAATTGTATAAATTTAAATATGCTTACTCGATGTGAATCCGACCAGCGCTTCGCTTTATTATACATTTCTATAGCTTCTCGGTGCATGCTTGCTTCAATATACAACATCTCTGCACGCTAGAATATAATAAGTGTTAATTCTGTTGATAATTGTTGGTTGCAAGTGTGAATATCTCAAAGTTTAAGAAGAGAGAAACACAAAAGTTGAATAAATCGTGGTAACTTGACCTCAAAGTCACCTATGCTGGCATGATGTTCGGCAATCTTGCCATAATACTGTTTCGAAAGGTTACTATCTTCTAATATATCTGCTATTTGTGCAGCTTTTCCCCATTGTTTTGCATGGATGGCTGCATCCAGTGCTTCGGCATTTTTGCCACTTTCTAAAAAAAGAATGAACAAAAAAATATATTCGTAGGAAATAACTTTGATAAATATTTAATAAATATTTGATATATTATATATACCAAGAAAATGGCTGATGGCCGAATCATAATTCATTTCCGTCATAAGAGATTTACCCCATTCTTCTTCCAAATCGACAACGCTTTCCGGAAAATTAATACGCGCCAACTAAATTAATGAAATTTAATTAAATTAACAGAATTTTTTCGCTAATTGATTTCTCCTTTTTCTGAATAGATGATTTAACTTTTTAAGCGGCAGATTATGCGGAATTAAAATCAATGATAATAAAATTTTGAAATATAAATGGGGATAACGGAATTTTCTAAGAGAACCAATTGTTTAAGTTATAGTGAAGAATTAATAAAATTAAATTTGCTTGAACCTTTATCGCCTTTAAATAATTTTTTCCTTTCCTGTAACATTCCAATGAGCGCTCAAAATCCTTAGTTTTTTCGAACAAATCGCCTGCCTGCAACTATTAAATATTGAGAAATCACAACAAAATTTTTTACCGAACGTTATCACAATTCATAACTGGAAAAAGAAGAAAATTTTCTTAAACAAATTCATTCTATACTATAATTCATACTATAATATATATATATATATATATATATATATACTATAATATATTTATAAACATAAAGTGGTTTGATTGACTCCATTTATTACTAAGACGAAAATCCAGATGCATACTTGAGAACAGAACCATGTATGGACCCACTTCACTGCTCGAATTTCATTTTGGATGATAAAGATTGAATCTTGACGGCAAAATGAATGATAAAAATACTAAAATCCATGAGAAGTGCAGAAATTGTTTTAAAATAATCAATTTATCAAACAAAACATGCCTTTTCAAAGAGATTGGTGCGAATCAATGTTATCGCAACTTTTTGAACTAATTCTTCATCAGAAAGAAGTTGTTCTTGCGAGAGGAGGACTCTTGCTGCATGGCTTCCAAGATTCGCCTTCAGATAAAGGTCAATAGCAGTCACGCAATCACCATCTTGTTCCGATATCTTAAGTGCAAATAATAAGAATTTATTAAAATTAACATTCTTGCAATTTTCTTAGCGATCAAATATGGATAGATTAGATATCGTTTAATTGCAAAGATGGATATGAGAACTTTAGAAGTGTAAAAGTGCGTTCACCATTTATATTTACACTCATTCCACCGACTATTAATATGATTAGAAATTTTTGCAAGTCACTTGGCGGTAGAAGATGAGTTACTAATACTGATTTTTTTCTATCTTGGTCGAAATTTTGCTCTCCAATCCACAATTTAAAGCGCTATAGACTAATCCTGATGCTTATTAATGCATATTCTTAAAATTAATAAAAAATTTTCAACGATTATTTTTACTTCAGCCGCTTTTTCATCTTGTCCTGACTCAAATAGATATTTATAATATTGATTTTTGAGCTCGTTGAAATTTGGATAATTCTGAAACTTTAAGTTGTAAATAATAGCATAACAAAAGATCTGGTGGTTATGCTGGTCAACTGAACATCAAATATTTTTTAAATAGATGCCATTTCCAGTCGCTTTCCAATCGAACTCAGTGACTTACATGAGATTTAGCCAGTTCTAGTGCTTGTTCCCATTTATGTAATTTCTGATACATTTCTATGGCTTCAGAAAGATGGTTCTAAAAATTCGTTATTTTATTTTTATCATTTATCACTTTATCATTTTTATACTGAAGTTTTTTTAAATTTTTTTGCCGATTTTTTTAATATTTGACCATTCGTGAACTGGATCGTTTCACAGACTATTTTTTGCCGGAGAACCACTTTTGGGAATAATAAAGATAGACAGGTTGACCTCAGCACCACCTAGACTTTATTCGGAATTTTTTCGATTTATCACTTAATGACAGGTTCGATCACAAGGAAAAGGTTTGAAGATGGCTCGTTTTAGTCGAAGCAATATATAAAAGTCAGAGTAGAAACCATTCGACAATAAGGTTACTGCGCATTTGTGTCAAATGAAATAATATAATAGACTTACTTCTTCCAAATAAATTCTTTCCGCATTTTTGAAATCCTTCCTCATCAAAGTCAAATTGACTCTAACCTTAAAAAACTGATTAATAATTTTTTTTAATATCAATATTTTATAAAGACTTTGAAGTTCTAAATTAATGCTACTTTATAATTATCCTTGCCGTTGCCGCTAATAATTTGCTCTGCAACTCGTATTGTATCAGCCAACATTTTTACACGCGAAATATCACCGAGCGCTGCAAAACAACGTTGTGCAATAAATAACTTTTGCTGTTCAAGTGCTATCTGAAATCGAAAAATTCAATATTGAGATAATTGAGATAATTGAAAAGAAAGATTTGCTGAATCTCTTGATTATATTATGCAAACAATCGCGCAAATAGTTGAAGCCTGAAAAGCTTAAAGATTGTGATATTCATTGGGAATCAAATAAAATAATCAAACTAACACTGGCCAGCTGGCGCCACAAAGCATCGTCAAAATTATCATCTCTTCGTTCTAAAAAGTCAATAGCTCTACTGAATTCGAGATTCTCGAGCGCAGAAGCAAATTCAATAACTGTTTGATCAAGCTCGTAGGCTACCTTTGCATTCGCTTCCTGCAAAATAAGCCAATAAGGAAAAAGGTAGAACAATGTTTTATCAAGCAAAAAACGTTGGAAGTGCTTGGATAGCGATAATTTTCGATATTTCCAAAAATAAAAATTCAATCTTATCTGAACAATGACTTCAGTTCTGTTTTCATCACGCATTACAGTTTCCACATCACCTTTTATTTGCACAATTACAACCTAAAATCCGTAAAAAGATCAAAAAATCCATATTCTCATTTTAATCCATAATAATTTTTTCATATAAAAAGAATATAGTCGAGTGGTATATCTAGAATATCATTCCAAATTTCATGTTAGACTTTATCCTCCATCCTTGGCAGAAATAAACCAGTTATTAAAAATTCGAAAAAAAGAAGAAATTAATTGTACTTTTATGCCGAAATCGTGAAAGTGCCTCACCTACTAAAAAAAGTGTTAACTCCACAATTTCGGTTAGGTTAGTTCCGCTAGTTGTTAACACGCTTAAAAATTTTTATCGACAAAAGTACAGGAAAAGTATAAATTCCAAGGAGTACTGCCATTAATTAACCATCTTTCCTAATTATATATTTAAAAATTTTGTTTTATCAAGCAATTCCTTTTCTATCTACAATTATTGACTCTGAAACATAGTTTGAAGCATCAATTATTTTAATAAGCATCTGCTATCGAAAAACGAACAGTATAGAAATAATTAATAATAATTAATAAATAATTGATAGAAATAATTAATTAATAAATTGAATAAGGATTCACCTGATCTGGGTTATCAGTTTGGTACCAAATATGGAGCTGATCACCAAACTGAGCAACAATAACGTCACTTTTGGGTACCCATTGCACGTATGTACAGTAATTCAATAAGGTTAATTTCTTATCGGTTTCCAGATCCACTAATATGAGACGAAATTGCTTATCTCGAAATAATAGTTTCAGAGCATTCTCATTAAGCTATAAAAGAGATATTATATTTGATGGTGATGAGAAACTTGGAAATCTTTAGCATAAATTATACCTCAAGCCAGTCAATAGCAACTGGATGTGCAATTTGTGTAATCTGATTATCAGCCAATAAGTCCACTGAAAAGCAATGAATCCTTTTTATTTCTTTTACTTATTTTATTTTTTGAATTTAAAAAGAATGAATTAAAATTTCATTAGTTCAAATTTAATCAACTTTAATTAAGAATCTCCGAAGGGTTATAAAATTAAATGTATGGTTTTTAACCTTAAATCTCTTTCCCCTTCAGAAAGAAAATTGAAATACATTCTAAATTTCTATAATAGGTCTAATAGGTTTGCAATTTTCTTAAGCAATTTTCTTGACGCAAAAAGCTTACCGACAGATATTGTATTGATATCGAGAAGGTAAGCTATTCGTTTTATCTGTTTGGAATCCTTTCTATTTCTTTTGTTTATTCGAACCGATAACAAATACGATGAAACTAGCTCTGTTCGCACCCAGCCCAAAACATTGTTATTTCCATATTCAACTATAGTTATCTTAAATATACATTAGCACTATTAGTTTTAATTTTGTGTTTAATTAAAATTTTGTCAGATGAGTAAAAACGAAGGATTTAACTAGATATTTGTTATATAACCACTGTCACCCTTAAATATCGTTTTGACGAAGGTTTCGACATTAGAAATCAAATCAGCTGAATTAGAAATTGTTACTGCTGTTCTAAGAAGATTCTAAATGGTTAATTATTGGACATCTCACACAGATGAATCTTTACGAATTTGTATGATAGTGTAGTTATAATTTTAACTATAATTTTAATAGTGCTGCAGTTTCAAATCGAGTTAATCAGCTCTAAAAATTCCTATTTACATTCATCCTTACTCTTCAATAGAACCTGGATCTTTTATAAATTTAATTGAGAAGTAGTGGAATAAAATAAAATTTTTAACGAAAGGAGATTTATTTTACTTCGCCAGCATTGATAATCAAACAAACATCCTCGTCGTTGAAGAAAAATTTTTCATTTCCCGCACCTTCCCAGTCGATTTCACTGGAGCGATTTGTATTAATGTCAGCAATAATTAATGAAACTGGAGTGTATGCTACGATATATCGATTCTGGCCCATTATCTACAATTTAGATTTCGCTTATTTTTAAGCTAATATTCTAATTCTGTGCATTTCAAATGTTTCAATTTCAAATGAAAAATTCATGTCGTTACGACAGATTAAATTGAATCATTTCAATCATTTCAAGGATAATTTTATTTTATATATGGTTTATGCAAAGAAATAAAGATTGCAAAAATAATGTTTACTGGATCTTTACTTAATGCTATAAAGATGAAATTCTAAAAGAAGCTAAAAAATAAAGTCCGGATGCAGAAAGACAAATTATCATGGATTATGCCTAACAGAGCGGCAACTTATCCTTGGAAAAAGGAACTCCTATACTGGATATCCTAATGCATGGCCAACTTACCGGAAATTAAATAAACACCTTGATATCCTCAATTGAATTCCCTTTTTTGGACTGAATGTTGATACGATGATCATCGTTAAGGTCACGGATAAGTACATTTGTTGGTGCAATGTAGGTCATTTCAAATCGGCCCTTTAGGTACGATCTTTTTAAACAGCAATCAATAATAACAACACTACCACACAAAGTTCCCTGAAATGGTTTCATTCGTAGATTTTTCAGTTTTGGTGGGAACAGTCGCATATATTCTATCTATTGCTTCTTAGCCATTTTGTTGTGTATTCAAGATGTTTAGGGCATAACAACTATTAAAAAAATTTACCACAGCTATTTTCGAACCATCCGGTCCCCATGCTAATGCGCTTATTGTATAAAGGTGAAGAAGCTCGAGTGGTTTCCCCTCATCCAGAGCTCCTCGGCGTTGGTTCCATGTGAATAAGCGGATTCTGTAAATAATTTTAAAAATTCAAGGTGCAAACATTTTATTATATGATAATAGTGGAGATTTTACAAGATTTATTGATTAACTAGCAAACGATGCTTTTTGAAGCTGAAAGAAAAGTGGGTCAAATAAGATGAAACACCTATCAAAACTTCCGATCACAATATTTTGCCCAAATGAATCGCTTACTGCAACCATAAATTCCTTCTCATCGTCCTGCTTAGTATAATCAAATTGTTGAAGCATTTTGCCATCATTTTTATATGATACAACTCTCCGATCACATCCAGCAACAATTATACCATTTGCGCTATAGGCTAATGCGAAGGGGCTACAAGGATGAGTGAATATTTTACATTGGGTTTTTTTATCCAACGAATAAAGAAGAACGGATCCATCTGAATGGCCCGAAATAAACGAGTTCGAGCTTGGGCTAAAAACAATATTACTTTGAACTTCATTTCGCTTACTGCTATAAGTTGCAAGCTACTTTAAATACAACTATCTTTTTGACTATAATTATCTTCAACAGCACGCCAAAAGATTCCATTGCGCCATAGACTTTAGTGGAAGATTTTCTAATATTTAGATTATAACAGAAAATTCATATAGATTCATATAGAAATTAGACAGAAAGCATTTTACAATGTCAATTATTACTATACTTTTTGCAGTAGCAACATTTTATCAAAGTTGATGATTTTTTTCTTCATTTAAAAAAAGCAATACGAATCGAATTCAGACATAATCTGCTTTATTTATCTGATCCAGAACATGGCCTAAAATTTAAATTTATGGCACTTACTGGGCAGCAATTGAAGCAACGAAGACATCAGTACAATATAACGTTGAACATTTATTATTTCGACAAGATGCAAGTCGAACTTTTCCATCAGCAAGCCCAATTATAAGCCGTTCATCATTTGGCCAAAGCATGGCAGTTACTGATGATGATTGCAAGAATTTATTACAAATCACCTTTTTTTCTTCCCTGAATTCAAGATTTCTTTATCAAATCACCTATTTTTTTGTCTTGAAGCACTTTCTAATGATTTTTTTATTTTATATTTTGATTTAAATGAATTATAAAGTTTATTTAATGGAGTCATTATTGTAAGAGCGAAATTAAATGACACGCATGATCAAATGAAAAGTTGATCATGATCGGTTCTAACAGAATAAAATTTTTATTACAAAATTCGAATGGTGCTGGCGACCCATTTGTGCTTTTACCACTAAGTGACGTTATGGCAAAAATTTGCTACATTGCTAGTAGAGTCACAATAATTCAAAAATTGTGAACGCTAACCATCTAATGACTTAATTTTTAATAAATACCAAAATTCAACTATATGGCACTAACCACATTTCTCCAAGTCGATAAATGAATACAATATTATCAGTTTGACCGACAGCTAATTTGATTGAATCTGGTGAAAATATTACATTTTTGATTAGATAGCTTTTCTTCCCAAACTTAAAACGTTAATATTTAATAATCAATTTATTTATTAGCCAAAATTTGTTAATAAAATAGATGAATCTTACATCAACTATCTTATTCAACTCGAAAAATTCCATGTGAATATTCTAAACACAAGAATTATTTAAAATCTCTTACTAATCTAATGCCTAAAAGTTAAAAGTTAAAAATGATAATAAAAGAAATAAAGATCATACCTTGGGATCAACTGGTTTGGTCGAAAATTTATCACGCCTTTGACCTTTCTCATCAAACAACAAAATCGCCCGATCGTGCGTGCCGACTGCCAATTTCGCACCATTTGGTGACCAGGCAATTGATGCAATTTTTGCTGCACCATTCTAATCGATTTTACAAACTAATTATGCCCATTTAATTCTTTTTTTTCCATCCAAACAAATTTATATTAAGAGATTTTTATTAAAATTATTTGCCTTGCACAATTTAGAATTTATTAAAATGATTGCTATACTGTATTACGAAGATATTAAAAAAAAAAGTTTCCAAAATTATAGATTCGCGCTAAAAATAATGAAAGAAGCCATTCGGAAAAAACCACTATAGCTTTTGTTCTTTAGGTCGAGTCTAATCAGAAATGGTAAACGATAACTGTTTAACTTTGTTCCTTATTATCTTAATAAGTAAAATTACGTTAATTCCAAATAAGCCACTGGAAAATACCTGTTGTTCAAGAATAGTTTTATGATATTTTAAACGCATTAGTTTCTGGAATCAATGAAAAATTATGTATAATAAATCCATCTTGAGTTACCATGGTAGCAACTATACATTTCTTGAATGTTTTTCTGATTTATTCCTCAATTAGGCCAAGATTTCTTAATTTTTTTGTGCCAAAGACTCTTTTGGCATTCTAATGATGAAGACTACTCACCTTATCTTGGAACCTACGGATCGATCCTTTTTATGTATAAAATGAAATAAATAGTGGTGTAAGGGGAAAATAGAGGATAGCCATAAAGTTTCATCGTCTCGAGCGTCAGGACATCTGCTTCAGACAAGAGTAAACCGATTGATTCAAATAACTCACCTATATTTCGCCAACACTCCTTGACAAAAATTTCTCATTAGCAGCCATTAGAGAAAACTAAACCAGATATACCAGATATAGCTAGTAACTTGCTTTTTTTGCTTTATAAAAGAAATATAATGCGGCCGAGTGGAAGAGTAATGCGATGTATATATTCTAACGATTTCTGTTGGTAAACATAGATACTGTAAATGCACTGTAATTTGTTATCTAAATTTTAAAATGAAAAAGAAAGGCAAATTCAATTCCAATTAGTAAAAATAAAAATAGATTTTGATTGACCAGGCAAGAATTATTAATTTAATTATTGTAAGCCATTTAAAAAATTATGAGTTTAAAATTATATATGTATATACATATATCTTTGGGTAGAGACCTGCTGAAAACTTATTCTACCTAACCTCAAATATGAAAATGCCGGTTTGGATTAACGAAGTCAACGCCAGATGTTGAGAAACTAGAAAAATCTGACGCTAAAAAAGCTAACAAATTTTACATGGATAAACAACATAATCTGGAATTAATGGGATGCTACTATATGAGTAGATCTAAGGTATATATGAAATGTATGAAGGAACTATGGGTGAACAAAAGATCTACGGCCAGAATCAGAAACAGTAGTCAATGTTTCAAGACAGAAAAAAGGGAGCTGCTTTTGCAACTGGAGATAGACCATCTCTGCACTATATTCCAGAACCAAAATAATTCAAAAGAAGAACGGGATGTGCACCCAACAAGTGGGAAACTGTCCATTACAAAACAGAGCAATTGATATGAGCAAAAAATCTTGATCAGTGAAGTAACGCCAGATAATATACTTGAAGATGTGAATAGAGAAATAACTTCAATCATTACATGTAATAGAAATGAATGAAGGCATCAACAGCTGAATAATACTGGAAGAGTGTGTACTGGAGAAAAAGAGGATCTATAACACTAATGCAAATTAGCTGAAAGCCCTAAGCCATAGCAATCTCCCAGATCAGGAATTAGTTATCAACTCAGTTACAGATAGCGGATCAAAAAAAACAAGCTAAACAGGATCTGGTCCGGATACTATCCATAACTATCGATTAAAGAAACTAAAAATACTTTACGAACATTTAGCAACACAAATAAATCAGTTGCTTGCTGCAGACTTGCTTAAGACTGTTTAACATAAAAGAAAAAAGGGTGACTGGCTGGTACTGATTATCTTCATAAAAAAAACATCATCATCCAACTTGCTTCTCCATAATGTGTAAAATATTATCAGACACTATAGCCATTAAGCTGCAGGCCCAGTGTATGAATACAGAAAGCACACTGGGAATATCAGAGGTTCAAAGTGGTGACGAAAACTCAAAGTTTCGTCAAACCAATCTGTGCGCAACTTGGAGGAATCATGACTCAATGCCCAACACATGGATCTAGCTCTATATAAAGACAGGACCCTAACAGGACCCTAAAGACGTTCATCAAGAACTCATTAGGACTGTGGAAAACGACACTTGTAGGCAACTCAAACAAGTTGTTATCAAGTGCGACATATATCAATGCGATACCGTTCTGTATGCCTAAATTCCTTCAATCAAATAATCACAAAAAGTGGAGAGGATACAAGTTCGAAAGTGGAATTACCATTAGCCATCTTCTCTATAAGAATGACAATCAGACTGAGTCGCTCATTCGTCTAATGTGAATTTACAGTGAACTTTGGGATATCATTCGGACTGGAGAGCTTTGGTGCATGATAGTAAAAAGTTAAAGTAATTAGGATTGATCAACGAAGCATACAGCATAAATATCTTGGCACTCCAAATACCATGAAACCATGATGAGAAAGCAATAAAGGCAGCAACATCCGAGTACTGCCAAAGAATAAGGCAGATCCTGGAGAACCAGCCCAATGAGCAAAACTACGCTATAAACAAACTCTGAAAGTCATTTCTGATACAGTGAGATAGCCAAAGGAAAACACAGAGATTGAAGGATTTGTCCGAAAATTCCTTGTGCATGGAGTTTTTCATCTTAAGTGTAATGTCCATATCAGCAAGCTTGATAAGTTCCAAAACTATAAGCTTGAAATTCGGGGCGTCCAGAAATGTACCAGCATGAAGATACCAAAGAAGAATTGACAAAATGCCTGAAGCACAATGTAGAAAAACGAATTAAGCAGAAAAGTAAAAGATTTTCCATGGCAAGGCAAAACCCTCGATAAAGTAAAAAATCCTACCAGTAACTGAAAAAAAGCTGTGATAAAAGATACTTAAGCACTATTAATAAATACAATAAATACAATTAATAAATATAAAATACCAAGCATCAGATCCACCAAAGCAAAGACCTGCCACATCACACAGGACTCAAGGTGGAAATTGTATAAAAAAGCCTTAAAAACTGTCCAGTACATAGTGGAGGATATAAGACTTATAGAAACAGCAAATATTGAAAGACATAACCAGGTAACCGACTTCAAGAATGTTCGTGCAATATACTATGATAGATCCTCACAAGATCAGATGAGAGATTCCATATAAAATCGTGGAGAATAACAAGGCCAAGACAAACTTTTCGATCAAGTGTAAAAGCAAATATTGGTTAATTATTCAGGCATCGTGATAATTGACAAGAACCAAAAAATAGTGTAGATCTATATATATAACAGGACCAAGTGACAATCAAGATGAAGAAATATAAGAAGCTTTGAAATACCAGGACCAGAAAGAAAAAGTAGAGAAAATGTGGAAAATGAGGACCAAAGTAGTAGAAGTACTCTTAAGAACTTATGCCTCCTAAACTAGAAAAGTGGCTCCAAGATTTTAGCAGTATCAGAAATCTCAGAAGAGTGCTTTGCTAGGAACGGTTAAGATAGATGCGCAGAACCCTCAAACACTCAGGCATCTGATAGAGAATCTGATATTGAGGATGACCCATACTACCCAAAGGAAATAAGAAGGAAATTTAAAAATTTAAGGAATGAAATTTATATGAGCAGATGGCATATGCTTTTCTTGCTTTTCTATAAATAAAAAAATATAGTTATAATTGGGGTAATTATCTCTTTTTTCCATCTTTTTTATTTAATTTGCTGGCTTTTATTGTTTTTCCTCGAAGTTAATGAAGAAAAAATTTCAAAGCCTATAAGATTTATCTAACTTGAAGAATACTCTGGAAGATAGCCGAAAAAATTTTATGTAGATTAATTACCCAGTAACATAGATTTATGTATTTAATGTAGATTTATGTAATCATTATTTTAAAAAATACTTAACATTTTCCCGATTATGGCGAATAAATAAATAATTTTATCAAGCAAAACTGGATGAGTGAAAAGCCATTAAACTCGATCCATTTAATTAAAAAATAATTGACAGGAATTTTACAAGTCTACGAGCAAGAATAAAAAATAACACGGATTTGATTTTAAAAAAAGGCTATGGAGATGTTAAAAGTTAATGAATGTGCGACAAAATAGCGATTATTTTTAGCTTTTCTCGCTGAAGAAAATGGAACAATAGAGAGATTTCACCCAAATCCTTTCTTTTAAATCGCGAAATTATTGAAATCTACTCACAAGCATACTATAAAAACTCTCATTATTACTTAAAATTTATTAATGAAAGAAATAAAATGAAACGAAAACCCCTAAAAATGTAAATTAACGAAGGAAATTCTTCTGATGCCATTGATTTCCACATCAATAAAAGGATAAAAAGAACAAAAAAGAAAAACGAAAAGGACAAATTTTTTTTGATGATTAAATTGTGAAAAAAAACCTCAAAAATGATTGAAAATGACCGCCAAAGATATCTCTATTCGGATAAAAATACAAACCATGAAATATTAGAAATCTTAAATATTTTGCTAAAAAATTTTAAAAAAATCGTGGTAAAAAATCTGTACTGATTTCACGTTTAAACGATTATATAATAGTGATGCCGAAATAAAAAATAATTTTTAATCTTCTGATTGTACATAATATGAAATTTGCGATGCAGCAGTTACGAGTGTTAAAGTCGATGTGGTGCAGAATACTCATTTATAATCTGCAAGTGATCCTCGGACAAAATGACTTCATCCACTTAGTCAATGCAGTCGACCAAACCGGAATGTTGTCAGCAGAAGAAGAGTATTATATTTCTACAAAAATTATTGCTTACATTCTTAATAGACTTGTAACACCTGTTTTATGAATAGGATGACAACTTTGCCAGAGAATCATTTGATAGAAGAATTATCGGTGAGTTCCTTGAATTAACTCGAATTTTTAACGATTTACTCCGAAACCAAATAATGATGCTCGACACAGTAATCTAAGCAGTGGGTTATCCTGCTTCTACAATAAATTTGCAACATAAAAATTTATTAGAATAAAAAGCAATAAAAAAAGATCAATAATTTTGAATGAAGAAAGAAAATAGCAGTCGGTTGAAACTAATTCATCACAAAAATTATCCAAGCAACCAGTAAATTGTTCGACGTTAGCGTTAGCCGAATATTCATTTAATGACCGCTATTAAATCAAAACAAAAAGATTTCTTATAAATTCAAATTCAGTAAATAACCATTCCATTTAATGGTGAACAGATTATTAAATGAGATTAAAATGGTATTCGATGATTGGTATTCATTATTGACAAAATTTACTGCATCTGTCACAAACAACTTCACGGACGAATTCATCAAATTCATTATTTTGCGAAATGCGAAATTTTTCATCTCACTCGACCATTCTTCATATTTATCTATTATATTTTATCTATTATTATCTATTATAAGAATATTTTAGCTTCAGATGATTAGAAAATGCATTTAAATGCATAGATTTAAAATTTATAATTTTAACCAGAATAAAAGCAAAAAAACATTCAAAACAGAGAAAATTCGAAGGATTGAAATTCGATCAAAAAAACTTTCTATTTGAAAAATAAATCTAATTGAAACAATATGAATGATCAAAAAAATCTTTAAACGACCGATAGAAAATGAAAAAGGATAATAATAAAAATTAATTCAGCTAATATTAACTAAGAACTAACAGTAGGCAATAGGTAGGCAATTTTCATGATCTTTTTTATAGAAGCGTTTTAAATAAATATGATTGAACAATAGCAATTTTTCGTTGCACTGAATTGAAGAAACCATTGAAGAATCTACGAACATGTAAGGTGAATTTCACCAAATCATCTGATGACCCAAATCTCGGGCTACTTTGCGACCAAGAGGAGTATCTGGAGCTGAATATATTCGAGTTGGGAGCTCTGTGGCGCTTCGCATGATATCACCAACATTATCTCTTCCTCGAGATGGATAATTCCTCTAAAAAAAAATAGCGCATTTAGTTTAAAATTAACTTTATCTCAGTCAGAATATTTTTTCATGAATGATCTAAAAAGGCAAACATTTCGAGAAGAATTAGAAAACTTCTGAAAAGAGTGCTTCATATAAAATAAAAACTCATCCTTCTGTAATTTTGTCCTACCCAGATTTTGAAACCAATTATTTCCATATTACTTCACCTTATATCTTAAATTTTTGTTGCTGCTGGAAATTAATCATATAACTGGAGCAGCACCAGGTAATAACCCATATTTCAATGTCAAAATGGCCCTTTAGCATAAAATCCTAAGCATTGGCAGCCAGCGTCTAAGAATCTAACGAGAGATATTAAGCGCTAATGAACTAAGAAGGAAAAATTGCACATCAAAAAAAATTGAGCATAAAGGGTGGATAAAAAATATTTATGAATATTAAAAATGAAGTACGCATTTTCAACCACCTAGAAATAATTGGACTAATTTTCTGGAGATAAATGAATCTATTCATTCAATAAAGCTATGATGTCGGGCAATTTAAGCAAAAAGGGAAGTTTAAAACTCAAATGAAGACACCTAAGAATATAGAATAGGAATATCTTAAATAATTATATGAAAAGCATGGATTCTTCGCTTTAAAAACAGAAACATATGGGAATCAAAAAAAAGTTTTCAGATGTACAAGCTTTCCGATTTATATATAACAGCGAATCATATAGCACCTCAACATATTGGACTTTAGAAGAGAGATTCTGTTGCTGTTTCTTGTGCAAATCTTGGTTACAAGGTTCGATATGTTCAAAAAATGAAGCATAGACGACAAAATTTATAGTCTGCCAGATAGGATCTTTTAAATCATAATGTTTTCCCATGAACTGGATCAATGAATCGGACGGTTTATCGATGGCAACTTCACTTGCTGATGATTTTTCACACTGAAAGATTGCCAAGATCAAAAAGTCAATGTTATATAAACCTATCAAGCCAGTGTACAAATGAAGCTACTTATTTGAATAATTAAAGATCATGCGGTTCAGTTGTGGGAAAATGTATATGGTTGTACTCAGGTCATCTTAAGGTTCGGATTCTGTCTCCAGCAGTAGAATGCTGCCATTAAATTTCGGGATGAGAATGACTGCTAAGAATGCACTTGTTGTCTGTCCCAAGTGACTCCCTAATAAAAATTTTTTATCATAATAATCTAGCAGAGCAAACTACTAGTACTAATACTAGTAGAGCAAACCTAACCGAGAATAGTAAGCGCTAACAACTTTATTTCATTTTTTTTGAATCGCCATTAATATCGCGAAAGAAGAAAAAATCATTAATCAAGAAAACACGATTATTTTGAAGTAAAAAAAGGACGAACTTGCAACATATAATCAAAAAGCGTGTGCCCATAGCCCCGTCTTTGTAACGAATCATGAATGTAAAAATCGAGTATACATAGAGGTGTTGTTTGATAGGTTTGATTCTTTTCGTCAGTTAGATATAAATTTTTATAACCAATTTTAAGTAATCCAATTATTATGTTCCGACCACTAAAATTATCTATTTTAATCTGATTGTTAAAAAATGCAACAGAAAAATAGAAAATTACGCATTGCGAATTTCGTTGGTTCAAGCAGCTGGTTTAAGAAATTTTAAAAAATAATGTACGCAACAAAATTATTTTTTTTATACTTTTAATTTCATGGACAGCGTTATCAAAAAATAAGCAAAGAATTAGAGGTACTCCTTATATGTGTACCATTTTTAAAATCGTATTATTTTTTTTAAAATATTTTGAAATATTTTAATTAAGCAGATGGAGCAGAATGGCTCAGTGGATTATTTGGAGCGCTTTCATCTCGGAGTACCGATGAGATTACCCGCAGGAGTAAATCAATCACTAAACCAGGATTTTGGATTTTTATTCCACTTATGCTGGCGTAATTAATCCTATCACCAAATGATTTTCTGGCAAATTTTGATTTGGCCGACAAGCTAGCGAATCGAGAAATGATTGAAAAAAACTCATCTGAATTCCAGTTGAAAGACCTTTTAATCGAAAATTTTACCTATATTCTACATCTTTTTTCCACAATATATATAAAATTTGACGCTCATCTGAGTCAATTATCTTTTCATATGTTGTCAGCGATTTTCGCAAGCCTTGTGCCTATAAAAATTTTTAAAAAATCAATCTTTCATAAAACGTAAGAAATCTCAGCATCTCGTAATTTTAGCAAAAAATTAAAACCTTGGCTGATAATGATCCCATCTGATCGATAATTTTTTTCACAGTCCAATATTTTCTTGGATTTAACCTCCGAAGAACAGATGAATCTAATCGTTGAATAGGCTCATCAGTGAAGAACTGACTTAAATCTTCCGTTACATTCATACTAAAAAAATTTTCAATTGATTCCATTAAGTTTCAATTTATGCAAAAATTTCAATAGCGTATGCAATAGATTCACTGGTACAAGTTAGGATGCAACATTTCCAATAAATAACAGACAGAAAAGTCGAAAGGTTGCAAGGAGGTAGGAAATAATGTTAAAGGAATATAACCAGGTTTTCAACATCTGAAATTCAAATCTTCAAATCTAAATTTTTTTTTCTTTTCCTCATATGAAGTTATGAAATTCGAAAAAAAGAGTGCTGAATATCAATGAATACAATTTTTAATAAACACATTTGAGAACTTGTATAAATTTTAAAAATTTTAAAAAATTTCGTGATTAGCGATAAGAATGAACTAGAAAAGATAAAAAACTTATGATGAAATAATTAATAGATGTTGAGGAAAAATGAAAAAAAGGATAGTCTAAAAGGATTGCTTATGTTGCTACGATCTAAAGTCAAGCCATCATAAGTGCCCATTGAAGGATATAAAAAAGGTATATAGGGTAAAGGGTTCTTGAAATGTAGGTGATGATCACGAATCGTCTACACTTCTATCCTCAAATGACTCTAATGACGACGAAATATCATCTCAAGTCAGCCAACCAAATAATCATATACTAAAAAATGCTGTTATAAGATGAAGAATTGGAGAATGGGTGTCACTTATTACTGATTTTTCGTTCGAAGATATTTTCACTTTCACTATCCGAATTCTCTAGTTTTTTCTATTATTTTGAAACAGAGTCTTCTTCATCTCTCTGTTATCCTCAAATAGGAAGCAGGAAATAACTTAGATTATAATGTTGAAAGAGGCAAGAAATCAGATCCTATCTCCAAAAGAAATAAACTTGCTATTAAAAAATCAAGTGATGCTGACGACTCAACTCCACTTCAATCGCCAACTTTCTCCATGATTAAAATTTCTAACCGTAACAAGAGCCAACAGAGCTAAATTTGGGGCCAGCATTAACCACGTATTCGTTGAAAGAAAGATAATGAAATTTTAGAGAATAAAGTCAAAAATATTTTCAGGAAATGGTTACAAGGACAGCGATTCGATGATCGATTCGCTAATAGTGCGTTACATTAAATGACTAACCATCATGGAAAATATTTTAGAAAAAAAAATAGACTGGATATTACCGAATGAACGACATAGAACTCTGAGAGAGTAAACAATCGAATTCGATTTTACCAACAGATTTGTCACTGAACAATCAGTCAGACGTGTATCACTAGTTAACTCATCAATAAAAAACCTTCATTTTTCATATCAACTTCGTTTTGATGAAAAGTTCAGAACCAAACGATTTGCCAATTATTCCGCTAGTCAATTCTCTCGACCATTAAGTGGAAAAAATCGACTATTTAAAATCGGAGTGGATTGCTGGTGGCCCATCTGCATTGCCTTCTATACTCTTTCCTTCATTATAAGAATGCCCAGTGGAGCGAGTCTAAAAAGCCAGAAATGCTCAACTTTAACCACTTATTTTACATCCTACTTATTAAATAATTCGCTAATTATTTTGTAACAAATAAATAAAAATGCTAACACCTAACGTTTTCATTGAACGATCATTCATTTCTGTTTGTTTTTTTTATTGAAGGGTATAAAAAAAGGTATAAAGCGTATAAACCTAGTTTTTGAAATATAGACTTTAGAAAAATGAATTCATTAATAAATTTTTTTGAAAAACAAGAAAATTTAAAAAATTCCATTCAATACGAATGGGTTCAGTTGAAAATTCATTGTCAGTTTTTGTAATATTCGATTAAATTTTATCGCTTTATTTATTCAAAAAACTGCCCATCAAAGCAAAAATAAGGTAAAGCAAAACGAATAACAAGATAAACGAAGTCATATATAAATGGAAAGTAGAAGTCACCAATCATTCTGGGTATTCTATTAACTTGATATTCTATTGATAGATAATATGAGATTTACTACAGAGTAAATTGGGAGTGTGAACCCGCAGCATTATCTAAATTTAGATTCGCTTCTGCAAGAGTCGATTCAAGATTCCCAAATAAAGGGATGTCTCCGAAAGTTTCACGCTAGGAAGTATACTAGTAGGAAGTGCTCTAGTTATGGGTATAGGAAGCAACTGTCCAACTGGAAATTTTGTGCTATAATATAACTGCGAATAATTACGAATATCAGAAGATCTTGACTACCGGATACTTCGAAGATTTGCAACGAAAGCAGCAAGGCGGGACAGAAATCACTATTGAAGTTACATGACCTATCGAATGGAGAACGGCGGCTCGATTAGGCGATGATAGGAAACTATACTGCCTTCTTCAACTATCACTCGGAGAACGATCAGTGAAATGGTAAGGGACAGTAATTATGTATAATGGTGTGCCTGTTAAGGCTATTAAAGTAATAAATTTTTTTTTTTCAATGAGTTTTCATTACTGGTTAAACTCGCTCCACTGGCTTGGGCAATGTGCCGAAGTCCCTTGGCGATAGGAATACAGTGAGTCGTCAGCATCATCCAGGTTTTTGTATAGGTTTTCTCCTGCGAGAAGTCGAACCTCAGCATCGGCGCTTTCAATTGAGCAATAACCCACGAGCAATCCTATCCCCATTAAGGCAATAGTAGAGAAATTCGATTAATATTTTTTATTATATTCAGAAATTTTGATTACTTTTAAATTATTTTTAATATCTTTATTTTAATATTTTTAACATCTTTAAGACCAAACTTAACCATGATGCACACCTGTGACCTGGACATAGTTGATACGTTCGTCTAACCATACGTTTGCAACTGCAAACCGCCAACAGAAGAAATAATTTCTGTTATACATAAGCTTAAGGCCAATAAAATTCCCGGACAAGATGGCCCTTCAGGCCGAAACTCTTCAAATGTTGTTCATAACTCACCTTCAACGAATATATTCTCTGGTATGGCAAAAGGAAATAATACCAGAAGATTGAAGCAAAACAATTCAGCTTTCAATCCCTATAATAAGAAAGGTCGTACTGCGACAATTACCGAGGAATCAGCCTACAGAGTTTTAGCGAAAATTTTTGCTTATTTTTTACTCAACAGACTTATGGAAATACGGGACAACAGGATGCGCCCTAATCAAGCTGGATTTAGAACGAGGCGCGTTGCGCCGAGAAGATATTTACGTTAAGAAGGATGCGGCTACCTTTGATTCAATTGACAGAACGGCTCTTTAGAGGGTGATGGGATGCGACGGTGTTCCAGAGAAGATCATTTTACTCATAAAAGTATTTTATGAGCGCAAGTCGGCGCAGGTCTGTGTATATGGGGAACTGACGGAAGAGCTGGTGTCCATCAAGGTTGTGTCTTTTCCCTTACAATATTCAACCATGCGATAGACTGAATAATGGACACCACTTGTCGGCACTCAAGAGGTGTTCAAACCAGTCCAGAGTATAATGTCACAAATCTTGAATACGATGATATTGTCTTTTATGCCGACAAATGCAAATAGAAGTATCAGGAACCTACAATGAGAATCGGACTGAGGGTCAATAAATGTAAATAATGTAAATAAAACAAAAGTCATTTCGTCTTATGTTCTGTACAAGATAAAATGCCTCTTTTCATAAATTCATAGTCGTTGAAGAAATGCCCAATTTTAAATATCTTGGATCCACTCTAACAGCGAAGGGCCGGGCAAAAGACGATATGACAACCCTTATTAATGCAGCTAGAAATATGTTCTTCCTGTTCATGAAACCTTTATGGAGCCGTCCTGAAACACCATAAAAACGAAAATTCGCATCTATATAGCTGCGATTCGTTCGACCTTGCTATATAACCTGGCCAATGAGAGTGGAGGATATTAAGGAGTTGCTATCAACCTTTGACCATTCATGTAAGATACATTTTTGCGGGTTCGCCGAGGGGATTAAATCTTATATAATCGCATCCACTTTCGTTCAGATACCACTTGCATTAAAAGTACCATCACAGAACATTGCCTTCACTGATTAGGGCAGGTTCTTCGTCGCCCACCTTTTCCTTCTTCTTCCAAAACAACTCACACCATTATTGATTAGGCTGGCTCCAAAGGATAAGACGCTTTCATGCGGCGCGATATGATACGATTATATGCGATTATCATCGTCGACAGAAATAGAAGCCATTCCTTTTTCCATCGTCTGAGTCCATATATCGCTGGTCCACCTACATGTTCAAAATCTTTTCTGACCGTATTAGTCCAGGTCTTGATTGGCCCATTTCTCGCAATCCATCACACGGTTTAGCAAGTAATGATATATAACATAACTCTTGATAACATTATTTGTGCAAGTGGTATTTGAACGAAGATGGATATTATCTTGTGGTATTTTATCTGCTCGACGGACCCGTAAAATGTACCTTAGACAATAGGGGTCAAAGGTAGATAGCTTCCTTATATCCTCCACTCTTACTGGCCATGTCTCAGGGCTATATAGTAAAATCGAACGAATCACAGCTATATAGATGTCTATTTTCGTTTTAATGGCAATTTCACAACGTCTTCATAAAGGATTCGTCAGCAGGATTCGCCGAAAGAACACATCATCCGGGCTGTAATATCGGCTTTTGCCTGGCCATTTGGTATAAGAGTCGACCCAAGATATTTAAAATCGGCTCTTCCTCAAGCGATAATGAATTTATAAAAAAAGGCATTTTATTAGTTCCTTCGTCGCCCACCAGAAAAATTGACGCATATTTTTTGTTATTTGCTAAACCTTCTGATGCGTGGCGTCAAAAGTAAGATAGGAAATCAAGACCTGGATTGACACGGTTAGAAAAGATTCTAAACGTGTAGGTGAACCAGCTTATTTGGACTTAGACGATGGAAAAAAATAATGGCAACGATGGCGTCAGACCACGCCATTTCGAAGCCCCTTGTAGCCAGTGGAGCCAGCCTAACCAGTAATGTTGAGAGCTGTTAAAAGGAGAAGATGAAGAACAAGATTAGGGATCGAACGAATGTTAAAAGGAATAAAGCAAGTTTTCAGATATTTATAAGCCTTCTCAGAATCAAATCATTTTAAAATGCATTCCATCCGAAATAGTTTATGAATAATTTAGAAGAAGTCAATTATTTTCCATTGATATGCGGCAAACATTGAAAAATATTGCAAATCGAATCATGAAATATGCAACATCACACGTTTACATGCAGATTTGCAAAAACATACAATTTCGCGCATTTGTGCTAAAGGTGATGAATAATATAATGCAACTCGAACTTCATCGAAGACTTCAAATAATGCAACTCGAACTTCATCGAAGACTTCAACTTACACCGATGAGAATTCAAAGATATCCTCCTATTTGCTTCGCCAAAAAAAGATAAATGCAAAATGACGCTTTGGAAGCCCATGAAAAACATTATCCATAGAAATAAGGGATATAAAAGTGGAATTTCGAAAACTGCGAGAAAAAGCCATCCATTGCTAGATATAATCACTTATGAAACGTAAAATTTATATTATTACGGTGGCAAACAGAAGAAAACGAATAGCAGTACATAAATAGAAACACATAAAGTGAAGAAGCGGTTAGAATTGTTTTTGCCTGTTCCACTGATGATTAGTAGGATTTTGCCACAGAGTCATTTGGGAATATAAGTGTGGATTGGTTCCCAGTGTCACACAACTTTTGAATGACAGGATCCAAGGCACCAAGGACAATAATTCCCACGATATTTGAAATGAAAATTTTGAATTTTGTTTGGAACTGGAAAATCCAAAATCTGATTCAACGAATTCATCACGAAGGAAAATGAGGATTAAAAACTTGTTTACATAGTAGTTTAAAGGATTTTATGCCATCACAAATCTTATTTCACGTTGATTTTTATTTGTTATTACTGACAATAGCTGCTTGCTTCGCTAATTTGTAAAAATAATATAGAAAAAACATTTTTCATCAAATCCAACAAAGCATTTCCGATTTCGATTAATACACAGTGTACTTATCGAACGATAAATTGCAGAAGCACTTTTTGTAAAGTTCCTATCGATAGGCAAAACAAGCATTTTAATAAATTCTGCGATCAGGAGGCATGCAAACGGGAAGAAATAAGCAAATGCGAAGAATGTATTGATTTCCAATATAAAAAATGAAAAATTGCCATAGGGCTAAATATAATAAAAACAAATGGAGTTTAGCCAATAGTAATTTTAAAAAATTATATAAAAATGAGGGAAAAAGGAAAGAGGAGGAGATGGAGGATAGGAATAGCAGAATCCATGCTGCAAAAGAGTAACCAATGAAAAAGAAACGAGGATTTCAGTCGAATCGATAACAACTCGTATACCTAAACAGCATGACTTATAAACAAATTTTCTGCGCATAGATAAATTCTCACGAGTTATCAATAATTATCATGAAGAATTATCACGAGTTACCAATAATTATCACGAAAGGCGATCTACATGATCGGATTTATAAAATTCCAAGCACTCATCGATCACAGCGATGCCAATTTTAATATTTCCAACACCTTCAAAATCCATTTGGTAATGTTATGAATTGACCACTGTTTTCAAAATTTAAACAAGCAGAAGGAAAGGAAATCCTATTTCAACTGCAATAAACCATTTCACCAATTAATATTTACTTTTGGCTCCTATAATTTTTGTCAAATATTTCACGCATAAATATCGTTAATATGCATGAAAAAATCTGAAATTGTCATTTCGTCAAAAAATATATGAAAGCGAAAAAGACCTAAAAAGGATGAAGTCAGTCTTAAACGCAGTCCTAATGAATCGTAATCTGCACTCTTTTTTCCATTTCCTTGCTGAACATCGTTATCAGTAATTTCGCTCGACGTTTACTATTTTAAGAATCGTCGCCTCTTTCGGCGCCACTGGCTTTCTTCCCACGCAGCTTAAATTTAGATGCCTGCCTCACTTAACTATACTGAACTTCGGATTGAACACTTATAATATCTATGGAGTTATGATCAAAATAATCAAATAAATCCTCATTTTGCCATATTTTATCATAAATATTTGAAATGGTGTTTGAATTGATTTTTGTAAAAAACGTTACTAGATAAATTGACTGAAATTAATATTGATATTAAAATATTCACAAAAATAATGGCTTATCTTCAATACAATTTATTTATTGGAAAGAAACAAACTTTGCTTTCCCAGAAAGCATCCAAAAATTTTCGCTAAATTATTTAAACGCCCTTTTCGACCTTTTTTTAATTTCCTATTTTTATAAAATGAAAATGATTTCACTTGAAATGTAACGTACTTAATGGCAAAAAACTCTCAAAAATGGCAAAAAACAAAGGAATAAACTATTTGACATCGGCCATTTCATTAAATCGAATAATTCATTGGAAAGATGCACTTTTTTCTTCATTAAATTTATTTGAATTTTCTTCCAAAAATCGACGAAGTGAAAATTATTTTTCCGTAGATGGTGAATTTTATATATATTATATATTTTACATAGAATGTAAAATATATAGAACATAAAAATTCTAAACTTTACATTTTTATTGGTTGGTTGCTTAAATAAGGCCTTCGACTTTAGATTTTATATAAAAATATATTATTTTGTTTCATTCAAAAATATTTGCAAGGCAACATGAAGAATATGAAGAAGTGTAAATGTCGCAAAAGAAGATTGTTAAACAGGCTTTCCAAATCATTGCGAGCGTGGCTTATATTTACATATTAAGCTAAAATTGTTAATTTTGCATTGATAATTTAAAGATGAAAAGAAAAATCTTGTTATTAATAGCATAAAGTGGCCAAAAAACTCGATTTGAAAAGCTTGAACAAAATTATACATAGATATACAAATAATGAAACATACAATAAATGCTTCAAGTTACATACAATAAATGCTTCACGTTTCTTCAAAACCTTTATACTTTGATGGATTAAATTTGTGAAAAAAACAATATTTCAAAACGATTTTAATAAAATAAAATCTAATAAAATGAAAATAAAAACGAAAGAGCAAACAAGCAAACCACGAATTCAAAAATGAAAAATAAAAACAAAGCATAATAAACCTGCAGTGCAATTTATTCAAAGAAAATTTTGAGAAAAGAAAATTTTTAAAAAGGCCTGCAATTCGTCCTGTCTATGAAAATGATTGTATATAATTGATCTTAACTTACAATTTACTAAGCTAGCAAGCAAAAATATGAAAGCTGCAAAAAAAAAATCAAGAAATCAATTTTAAAATCAATTTTAAAAAATTTTATCGCAATAATCCAAAGCTGGTTTAATTTGGATGGAACCAATATTTTAAATTTGTCGAAATTGAACCATTTTTAAAAATTAGGGATAAAATTCCTCTAAAAAGACACAATTATATAAACCTACATAAAAAATGAATCGTAATTGCTATTTGCTACAACGCTTGGCTAACAAAGATGAGCCAGCTTTCGATTCCACTTCTGCACTCATTCTATCGTACCACACCTCAATTCCGCTTTGTTTACAGATTTCACGAAAAGCTTTGCACCCAACAAAAGAATTAATGGAACCATAAAGTGCCTGCAATGAATTAAAAAGTGCTACGAAGCTTTGCAAAGAAATATTGGCGTTGGAAATGAAACGAGAGAATTTGCCACCATTCAAATCCCATTTAAATTTTTCTTTGAACCAACATTCACATATATTTAAAACTCAATCAAAAAAAAAACCTAAAATGGCTTCTCGAAAGGATTTTTCTCAACGATTAAAAAATTTTCGAAAAAAAACCGGAAAGAATTTTTAAAAAAAATACAAATAAAATAATACGACAAAATACAAATATAAAAAATAAATAAATAAAAAAAGAAAAAATATATTTGAAATTTTTTCGCAATGTGGATAAAAAACTAAATAAAAATAACCAAGTCCGCTAGATTCGGCCGTTGACCTCCGAGAAACAGACGATTTCCAAGAGCTTGGACCCATTCGTTGCAAGCACTTATTAGAGCAGTTCGTTCATCTTTTATTCCATGCCCAAATAAATATTTATTTATTTTTATTTGATAAATTTACTTTATCTCATTTTACTTCGTAGAGATAAAATTGAATGACTCAAAAAATATACTAAAAAATTTTTACAGATTATTTCTGAGCATTGAGAATCATTTCAAATTCACGCTACATTGCCTTATATGTTTGATATAATTCAAAAGGAAATTTTGTGCATAAAATTTTTTGATGAACCTTTTTATGCAAAATAAGCAGTGGGAAAAAATGCATTTCTAACCGTTTTTTCAATCGTTTTGATATAAAATACATTATAATAGATCCAATGTAAATAGTCAAGTAACGTTCCCATGCTGGAAACACTCTTTTCCATTCGCCAACCTCATCAAACCAGTAAAAAGTTTCCAAACTTTCAGTTAATGTACGATACACATTAGGTGATATTAAATGAATAAAATAATTGTCAACCCATTCACGCCAATCTCTTTCTTCTCTTAAAAATTATTTTTAATCCATTTTTTTTTCGTTTTTTCTTGTGAAATTTCATTAGTACCCCTTCTCTTTGATTTTAAACGCTGTTAACTAGTAATATCCGCAAAGAAAATCTAACTTTGCATTTTGAATTTCAGCATCCGAAAGTTTGGTTGGTTCCAGCATTATAAAATACTTATTAGGAAAAGATTTTGATAATTGTTCAGTCTTTGGATCAATAGTGACTAATTCCGGAAATAAAGCAATTACATCAGAGATCGACTGATGAGAATTACGTAAGAAAGTTGATAATATAGAAATTATCAAAGAAGATTCAATTAGAACACGATCATTGTCTATGATAACAACAGGTACCTAAATTATAATTTCTCAAAAATAAAAATTTTTATAAATTTCAAAACCGAAATTTAATAAGTTTTGATCTGTAAACAAACAAGTAAGCGAAAAAGTGTATAAATGGGCCAAATAAAGAAATAATTATTAACTTTTTTGTAATCTGTTAAAAATTTGAGTTGAGATCGAGTGATTGGATTAACCTCAACCACTTCATAAGAAAAACCAAAATAATCGAGAAATGCGCGAACTTTACAGCAAAATGGACACGTCTGATATTGATATAAGCGAAGATTCAAGTTTGTCTTATCAACATCTGTTATTATCTATAAATACTACAAATGAAAATATAAAAAAACGCTAAAGTAGATGGTTAACGCTATAATCCCCGTTAATCAAGGAAAAATATCGGTGGTGGCATCCCAACATTAACCAGACTTTTTAGTGATAAGTTCACTTCCGCCAAAGGCGGTCTCTGAAACTTTCCTCGAAATAATAATTTAATTAACATAAGTGGACTAAACAAATATATTTGACAATTGAACAAATTTATAATGAAAAAGGGGAATTTAAAAAATTTTAACGAAAATTTTATCCCGGCTTTATTTTGTTCTCGATATACCAAAGATCACAAAAACCTTTTTAGCGATGAGAATTTTTCTTGCATTTTCATCGAAATTTGTGGAATATTTTTCTTTTCGTGTACACATACCCATCGCACCAATCACACCACCACCAAATAATGAAAGATGAAGCCATTTATTATGAAATAAACCATAACGCCTCCACATAATCCAAAGAACTGAATGGATCTTTCTTTTCTGAAATCCTTTGCATTATTTGAAAAAATGAAGAAAATAGAAAAATCTGTCAAATAATTAACGAGCAATATATTTAATGCGCAACGCAAAAAAAAACCTCTTCTTCCATTTTTTTGGCATCGGCCATCTGTTACTCCTGAGAGCATAAACAAAAACGAAAAATGATGCTGGCACCACTTTGCTGGCGAGCGCCAATATCCACAGATAGGGAAACTGGGCCATAAGCGAAAACACAGATGTGAGACATAGAAATGAGGAGAGAATGTCGACTATGGCCATTGCACAGAAGATGACAGAAAATTGAATGAAATGAAATAGCATAACCTCCCCATCGCACCACCCGCAACTGGAAAATGCACAACAGCCCTCACAAGCCTAACTCGATTCGAGGAACCCCAAATGGATGAAAATGGGCCCAGAAGACCCACCATATCATATAACTTTGTCTAGTTTTCCATTTAAAAATTTCGTTCAGACGCCGAGCACTGACGAAATTCGTAAGCAAAGCAATCACAACGAAGAAATATTTCATTCCCCCAGCTGCATGAAAACCGAACCTCCATCGATTCACCTTCTAAATCCGTTGTATTATTTTCAAATTAATTTTATTTTTCTAGCAATTCGCCGCAATTCAATTCGCTAGTTCTTATCGAGTTACCACTTAGAAAAATCCTTTATTATTTCTTACTTCCCAAACGCTTCAGAAAAATCTAAAGACCTTCTTTAAAGTAAACTGTAAAGATATCTATATGGGTGTATAAAATGAATTTGATTAAAGATATTCATCTGCAAAGTTGCAAGAAAAGGCGCAAATAACAATCACAAACCATTTATCAACGAGATATACGAGATATTTCAACGATTTACAAAAAAGAAATTCAAGAAATGAACAGGAGTTTTAAATAATGGTAATTTGATTATTGATGATTACACAGCCCTATAAACTTGTTGCTAAAATTCTGAAAAGATAAAAAATAACATTTACGCAGTAATGTTTCAATAAAAAATAGAAAATAGCAGTTTGAATATTTCAAGAAAATAAATTGTATGCAGCCTCATATACAAAAAAAAAAAACCATTCGGATGCAAAATGGAATATACAGAGAATGTGATGGCCTATACAAAATAAAAAATATATAAAATTTAGATAAAAAGTTTACCAACAAATTTTAATAAATCTTACGAAAAATGAAAGTGTTTTCATTCTTTTCGCTAACAATTTATCTATTTTCGTACTAAAACCAACCCGTAAAATTTGCAGAAAATCATTCATCCTACGCAAAGATAAAAAACAACTTACAACTATGACTATATGTACATTACTACAAATAGATTAAATAGTTGTATGGATATGGAAATAAAAAACAAGAGCCATAAGATTCCAATCTCATGAGAAATTTTCTTTAAAATTCATAAAAAAAATAAAAATTCGATTTCTCCTTATAAAATTAACATGAAAAAATATAAACACCTAACATGGAGAAAAAATATGGACAAAAATTCGAATTTAAGGCGTAAAAACAACAAATATAATTGTTTCTTATATTTCGCATTTATCATTTGGTTATCCCTATACAATTCCAAGAGAATCCATAGCAAATTTTCAATTAATATAGTTACAGTAATGTGAATCAGAAATTAATCCTATACAGCATTTGCCGAAAAATCAACCATACACCATAAAAAAAACCAAATACAAGAAAGAAATGATAACGATGATAACTAGGAGAAATACTTATGGCTACAAATAATTTAATAGAAATCTGATAACGCGTAGGAAATACATGATTATAAAAAATATACAAATTAACTACAAACAATTAAGATTTTGATGATATCCAAAAGATCCATAATCTCCGTTCTTTTTTGCCAGCTTGTCAAAATTTGAAAATTTTGACAAAAAAGAGAACTTTTTTTTTAAGGAAAAAGAAACTTTTCAAATGCTCATCTTATTACCACCTCCAACAAACTCGAATTTGTTGACACAAACCAAAAAATAAAAAAGATTTGCCAAAATATACAAATTGATTGAATTCTATAAAAGCTAAAAAAAATTGAAAAACAGTGAAGGAAATTTCATATCGATTATTTATAACGGTTAAAAGCATGAAAAAACTCAAAATAAAAAAAAGAAAATTAGGGAAAATCCTTAGTGAATGAATAAAATATCCAAATGGTTAAAAAATTTTCATTAATTCAGTTAACGGATAAATAAGCGAACTAACGAACTTTAAAATAAATGATAACAGTAGAAGCAGTATAATAATTAAATTATCTCCACAAAAAAATAGGGAACTGAAAAAAAAATAAAAATACAGAATAATCGATTGGAGCAACAAGTGAACTAATATTATTACATTGATTGATTTATTCGATAATTTACAAAGCTCTACATAGAAATTGCCGCATGAGGACGCAAATAATAAAAAAATAAGAGAATAAAAAGATAACGTTTGCTTTCGATAGTTTAACTTTCGTAACAAAATGCTTAGATGATGCAAGAAGATGCATAAGTGGGAAACGCAATAAAAATTCTAAATCCAAAGCGAAATCCCAGAGGTACAAATTGCCTAAAAGCCACATAAATAAAGAAATAACAGTTATAATTGACAAAAACCATAGCTCATATACAAAAAAACTGTTCAAAATGGGTTTAAGGCTGAATATGAAACAATCTGCTAACTGTTCGAAAGGTGTAGAACAAGAAATCAATTGATAAGAAAAATAACTGGAGGTTACAATGAAAAATTATATGAAATGGGTAACAAGCAATAATCCTTCATGCAAGATAACAAAAAAATAGAGCTTAACAAAATGTACAAAACATGACAGACGGCAACAAATCTGCAAAATCTCGATGTTGGTCTTTTTCTGAAATAAAAACGAGCAATTTCCGGAGAAAGAAGTCGTTGATTTTATAATTATGAAATCATATTTTAAATAATCAGTTCGAAGCAGCTGGACCATTGGAATATTCATTTTGCATATTCGGTGAAATTGCACCATTTTTTTGAAAATATTTTTCTAGCTTCGCTGCAAAAAAGACAATCAACAGTAAAGACAATTATTTTCCAGTGGCTCCTAATTCATTTTGCCAAAACGAAAAGTGAACGATTGGGGAAACGGCCAAAAAATATTTAAGCATAAGCAAAATAAAAAGTGAACAACAAAAAGCCATCTTTTTAAGAAAGATCACGCAGTGGCAAATTTACTTAATTATCTTTGATAGATTAAAACAGCACTTTGGATGTAAAGAGTTGAAAAATTAGGAACCACTATAAAAATATCACAAAAAAATTATTAAAATTATTAATGAATACTGCTTGCACATGCAAACACGTGAAGACAAATACCGTTTTGTTAAACTTACTGATGATGTGCTTGCCATAATTGAACTTTCGTAACGATGGAATATGCGGCTTAATTGCAAGCATTATCCTTCGACGATTATAGCTGTCGGCAACATCGAGCATTTTTTGTACAACATAATTCGCATATTGATCTTTCATCATCTCCAATAATGGCGTTTCATTTGGGCTAGAATTCGATTCAAATGAAGTATTAAAAACTAAAAATAAAGAAGATTGTTCTATAATCGCAATATTTTGCAAAAAATGCACGGATATATCCAAAACCAACATAGAAAACTTCTAATAACTCCAAAGAAAACTTAAAATCTTCATTACTTGTCAGGATCCCCGCAAACTTCCACAATCAGTGCATTTTTGTGGTCAGGTGATCCCCGCACGAGGCATTTCTCGATGACATTAGAGGCAAATTTGTGTTTCGAAAATTCCAAAACACTTCCCTTAACAATATATATTACTATTACTAAATATTAGTATTAAAATTTTTTACAGTTCAGGTGAAAAAAGAAAAGAACATAAAATACTGCTAGCAAACCAACAGATCTCAGTTTTTTCAAAAAAAATTAAACAGATGTATAACAGAATTAACCGATATTTCCTCAATAATGCGATCACGATCAGCATCAGTTGTGTGCTCAATGACATGCTGAATTACGTAATTGCCATACTGGTCAATCACTAATTTTTTAATATGCATATGCAATTGCTCGAGTATAGGTCTCTTTTGCTCTTCGGTGCAATGCTCCAAAATTCGCTGAATTACACGACAACCGTATGGATGTGTCGATAAAGACTGCACCTAAATGGTAATATAATAAATGAAATGATATAATAAAATGACTTATTAAATGATTTAGATAGAAAATCTCAACAAATAAAAAAATAAAAGAAAGCTAAATAAAATTTAATAAATGAAAATATAAATATTGGCTGTTACCATTAGTATAATTAAAAATATAGAATAGTTGAGAATTTTATAAGAATTTTATAAGAAAATATTCAAATGTTCAATGTACAATAAATGATCCTTACCGTATCATTGTCGCCTGGTTGTACAAGAGCATCTATAATGAATTGTAGCTTAGAAGTCTCCACATTTTCGATGACTTTTTGCACAACATGATTACCATTTTGATCTTTGACACACTTCAACACCTAAGAAAAATGAAGAAATTTAATGAAAGTTTTAAAAATGGAGCTTTAAATTTTGATGGTAAATACGAAATGACTGAAAAGAGAAATGAAAACAAACCTGTCCCTCCATTTCCTTCAATATTTCCTGTTGTTGCTCGGAAGATACGCATTCAAGGGCTTTTTGAATCACTCTGCATCCATACATTTGAAGAGCAAGAGTCATTACATTACCCTGAAAGAATTTTATGAAATTTTTATCTACTGAAATCAATTTCAAAACTTACTTCCACATTAACCAGTGCCCTTTTATGAGTGTTCCAATAAAATATTACAAACCTTTATAGCAAGTGTTAAGCAATTTTTATGCTCAGGAGTTCCATATTCGAAGAATTTTTGAATAACATAATTGCCAAAAACATCCGTCATAAGATCTGAAGCTTGTCTGGCAACCTGCGCGAATACAACCTCCTTTTCTTGCTCTGTAGCTCGCTCTAATTTTTGTTGAATGAATCTAAATTCAAACTAATGAATAAAAATATTAGCATCATTACGACAAATAACCAAAATCATTTAATCATTTCACAAAATCATTTAAGTAGGAATTTAAGTAATTAATGCAAGTTATCAAGTAAATATAATTCATTTAAAGATAAAATTAGACAAAAATAAATAAACTATCATCATCAACTATCAATATTAACTATCAATTAACTATCAATAAACTATCATAAAAAACATAAATGAACCAAAGTTTAAAACCAATAATTTAAATTATTACTATATAAGAGAAGAGAATGGCAAAGAGAGTAAACTTAGTGAGTTTTTCTTTTCACCCCAGAATGTCGGAGCAAGAAATCTGTTTGTGACAAAAGCAAACCTGTCTCAAATATTTCAGTGGTGTTGAACCTTCCTTTATTTTTATTGCCAAGAAACTCCTTGGAAAATCTGTCTGAACTGGTAAGCTAAGGGGACAAGTCTAACCAGAATATGAGTGCTGCATAAAAAAATTATTGCATAAAATATATCAAAAATATGCGGAAATACCTAGATCCATGTTGATCCTTAGCGAATTCAACAACATGAGGTCCGATTTCAGATAACTGCAAGAAAGGATTTCGATTAGTACGGAATTCCTCCAAGACGGTAGAGCGTTGCCTTTCATTTGATTCCACACTTACATTCGTTTCTAAAATAGCATGGAAATAACACTACAGTAACAACTGAATAAAGAACTATCCGTAAAAAAGTAAATCCAACCGAAATTTCAAACCCACAATTGAAAAAAAATAAGTTAATAATTAGATGACGATTTATTAACGACCTCTGTTGAAACTTGGGACGATGGCTCGTCGATTAGCTGGAAGATTATTTGAATTATAAGGAAAGAAAACTGGATTTGTCTGCAATGCAAATGCTGATGTGTTTCGCTGGCTTGTTGTAGACTGCATTTGATTTGAAGCAGCAGCATTGTATCCAGTTGAATTACTGAAGCCTGAGAATGCAGTGCCTATAAAATAACATTTTTAATTTTTACCTTGAAGGACAATGATATAAAGTGTTGGGAATAATTTTAGACCAATCTTTATCAGTAGCTTCATTTTTTAAAATGTTTCTTAAATACAAAATTTTTTTCATCGAGATTTCTAAAAGTTCTTATTGAAAGCGACATAACTGTAAATCATAAATCGACGAGACATTTTTGGCACCAAAAATAGATACTCAACCGACACCTCGACAGACTAGATTCTGAATGGAAAAATGGTATGTATGTGCTATATATGGTCTTGAACAGTGGAAAAGAATTGTTATTCTCCATTACTTTCTAATGGTAATAGATCAAAAACAGCGCAAAACAAGACAGGAGCACTATTTGCATGACAGGAGAGTCCCTGTCAAAAGATTTTGACTTCAGAATCAATGAAAATATAATCAGCGAACCAAATAAGTTGGGACTTGAAGCAAGCGAACTAGCAGGAGGTGTTTGAGAAAAATAGATCGGGAGGCCGAAATGCTGTCCAGTGGATGAGAATGCTTCATGACGAGGCGTACTAGGTGGTGCTTGCGGCATTCCTACAGATAAACTCGATAAATTTGATGTGAGTTGATTTATTGATTGCTGAGATGGATTCGGATATCCAATTGGAAATTGAAAGCCAGTTGGAGGCGATGTAGAATAAAAACTGGCATTTGAAACAGGCGGCGTTGCACGAGCACCTTCAATAAAACATTGCAAATAATACTAAAAAAAGTGATTTCTCAGATGTATTAAAGGAAATAAATTGCTTAAAATAAAAGAAGCTCATTGCTCAGGTCAAGCAGCATAGGTTCAATTGATCTTCCTTGAAATTCTGGTGGTACTGGTTGTATTTCTTTAATTCCACAACGAAATGGTTTTTCATTGGTAATCTGTCGAACCCAAATTGGTAAATTAATAAGTGTAAGTGAAATCAAATTGTTAAATCAAAATACGAAAATAAATTATAACCATTTCCAACTGGTCCAATATTTCCATTGTGGCCCAGCATAGCATCAGACGCTGCAGGCAACGGCAAACTTCCAGGACTGACCCAAGGACAACCAATATTTAACTGCGAAGTATTTGTTTGTGTTCCGCTCGTAAAGATGTATGGTAGCTATAATATGTATAGTGAAAATTACCAAAAAAGAATATCTGAAAAATTAATGGCTTAAAAAAATAGAAAACAAAACATTATAAAAGATATCAAAAAAAATAAAAGATGTTATCAAAAATACCGAATAATCGGCGTTTATTGATGGCACATCATTTGTCTGCTGCCTATACCCCAATTGAACGTATGGTAATGCTAGGTTTGAATCTACCGAAGTATTGATAAATGCATTCGATGATTCACTTATTTTTTCACCAATTGTTTCTTCATTGGTTGCATTTACCTGAAATATATTAATTACTTAAGAAATTGAAAATTTGAATTATAACTCAAATATTAAGGAAAATATAAAAGAAATAAGGCATAGAAATTAAAATATAAGTTTAGTAAGCATTAAATATGAACAAAATAAAAATGAGATGAAGACTAATTAACTTAATTACTAAAAGAGGTACCTTGCGAAAAATGATCCAAATGAAAAAACTAACCACATATCTACTCATAATGCTATTGTCTCGAGTGCTATAACTGCTCGGTGCTGATTCCAATATATTTGAAACCATTCTAGTACAAAATGAAGCATCAGGTGGTGAAATCACTGGACCGCTAGCATTTGTACCTTCCATAGAAATAGGATTACTAATAGCATGTTCTGAAAAATCTTTCAAAATTTTTAAAGCAAAAGAGAAACAACTTTTATCAACATCAAACGAATCAAAATAATTTTGAATACCTTACCTGAACGAATATTGTTCCAAGCATTTTGATATTGATTAGACCATTGTTCACCCATTGCTAAATTTCGATGCCGTTGTCCAAGTTCACAATAAATACAACTTCTTCGAAAACGCAATTTATATTACAAGTGTACACCTAAATAAAATTCATTAAAAAGCTTATTCAAAAAAATATTCTGAATATAATGCGAATAGAGAATGAAAATGCAACAAATGTAAGAATGGGGAAATCCTTTCAATGTCAGTCATCAGTGCATTTCATCCTTTGAAGTATATGAAATATTTGTACTATTAACTTGTTTAAAATCTGTTTGTTCACTTTATAAATTATCATAAATTATTCATTAAACCCCCTAAGAAATTGGCAAGTGGTCCGTAGATGAAATATCAAAATAAAAATATAATTATTTCAATTTATTTACTAATTTAATATAAATTTGATAAATTTAAACTAAATAGGAGATATAATTTAAATTACAAACAAAATAAAGAGAAAATTACACCAGTACGCCTTGTTATTACAACAAATAGATTTAAAAAATTTAAAAAGTATAACAAAAATAATAAGTAATCTTAATCATAAACATTCGAAACCCAAAAACTCTTGAAATTGCGACTGAGAAATTTAGGCTTTTCGTTATAAAATTATGCAACAAATGAGAGACCATTGAAAATGCGAGAAAAAAACACAAATGGGATGCCAAAAAACATTTTTATCGAAAATTATCAAATATATGAAATAAACTATAAAAAATGGAATACTTTAAAATAAAAAAGAGAAAATAACCAAACGCTAACTTAAAATACCATTAACAATCGAAAAGAAGACCATAGCATAATGCATACTTCATAAGATTTACTTGTAACAAGGGACAAACCAATTATATTTCAAATGAAGCAATTTTCAATTCCTCTTCAGAAAAATACTCTTTGTATTTCCTCGTTAACATTGGTTTTATACGCGATTCTGAATTAAAATAACTTAAAATCGAAAAAAAAAATGAAAAGTGTCAATACGAATCATTAACTTTTGCAGCAAACAAAATTGAATATCATTAAATTCGGTCATGAAAACATTGAAACTATTGAAATTGAAACATTTACACGAAATTTCAACATTTTACACGAAATTTGAGCCACTTTGAATTCAAACCTCATGCAGTTGTTCTCTAATGTGAAGTTCGAGCAACAAAAATTTTTGCATCAAACAAAATTAAATATTAAAATTAAATTAAATTAAACGGAATAAAAAATGATAATCCAAAAGTGAAAATTCTGAAAGAAATTAGAAGATGAATGATCCGACAAAACGAGGTCAAGAAAACAAAGAAAAATGCAACCTTTAGCAAAAGAAGTTAATACAACAAAATAAAAATGGAAATAAAAAACGAAATAACATAAACGCAAGTAACATAACACTAAATTAAAAGTGGAAAACGACAAGCAAAGGCAAATAATATCAAAAAAGATTACCAATGAATTAAAAGAAATAAGGGAAAACCGCAATTTCAACCGCAATTACGAGACAATCTCTAAAAAAATGTAGGCAGAAATGAAAAATTAACATTAAAAACAGCCTAAGGTAAAATAAACAAAGAAGAGAAATTCACAGCTGTAAACAGTTGCCAAAATAGTAAAAAATAATGTAAAAAAAATGCTAAAAACAAAAAATATAAGGCTTTTCCGTGTGGTGTTGTGGATCCACTTATATCCATTAATCTTGTACCTCTGGAGAAGGTTCCACACCACAGTGATCAGTGAAGGGAACCAAATCGAAAATGTTGACGAGCATCGCCAAAAGGATGTTTATATCCTTAATCAAGAAAAATCTTTAAAGGAAAAAACCGCACATCTTGTTTCGAAAAAACCCGGCGAAGAGATCTTTCAAAAAAGATTAATTAGGCACATAACCCACGATGGTACCACCTCATCCCCACCCCCACCCCCTTCCACAAAAAAATAACCGAAACTCACTGGAAAAAAAACCAGCTCGACGCTTTTCCCAAATTCGCGCTTTTAATCGACTGAATATCACGCCAGTTATGCTAATTTTCATTGAGAATAGCTGATGCGCAGTAAACGCAACGCAGCTGTGATGTGCTGCGTAATTGCGGGAATTTAAAGTTTGATATGTAGTTATCCCGCACGCCCAATTGTCAGCCGTAGGTCAGTTGCTCACGTGACATTTGTTTCAGTTTGTGTGCGATTTTGGAAATACATCACTTTAATCCTGGTGCAGAAGTATTCCTTCCCAGGCCATTACGTTTTCATTTGCACTAAATTAGCGAGCAAAGCCAATTGAGCAAGTCCTCAAACTCGATTAGAAAGGCTTTTTTATACGTTAAAACCCGATACTTCTAAATTCATCACCTTTGGTATGACCATAACGCATCAACAATTGTCGGTTTTGATGGAGTAACATGTCTATTTCGTTTGACAGTAAGCATCATTCCTCATTTGGCTGGGTGATCAGTACCACGGAGACGTCCGCAATTGCCAGTAACGCCTGAATTCACGTTCTAACAAGTTTGATCCCATCATGAAGTGTAGTGATTCTTTTGTTATCATCCATTAATTTGCTTTGATTACTGACCGCACTATGTAACGAGGGAGCCGAGGGGTGTAAAGCGCAGATTCACTCGCTATTAGTTAATTCCACAATAATCAGATAGTGTTGTGGGGGGCGACTTATTGATAAGAGAGAAAAAATGAATGGTGCGACAACTGCTCGAAATTCAGTTGAGGAAAAGCTAAAAAGGTATTAGGTGGATTACGAATTCTACCTTAGAAAGGCCATTTGGCCGTATATATTAAGTGGAACTTTAATGTAGAGAAAACCTTTCACCTTTGCGTCTGTGGTAGGAATTAGCATCTTGCTATCTGGACAGATTCACTCCTTACCATTTACTAAGCACTATGATGGCGCCAGAAGCGAATGAATGAAGTCTGTCTTGATTTTTCCGATACATTTTGAAAACAGGTAGCCATGGACAGTCTTAGTTATTTTTAGACAAAACGCCGGATCAGGAGGAGAGAGCAACATCCCACTCCAGTTAAACCAGTGGAGTCATCAAGAGTGCAAGCTGCTTTTTAAGACACCATTAAATTCGCTTCGCTGGCTTGTCGAACTAGAAAAATGTGCCTTGACGATGGAAGTACAGTTGGTCACCAATGTCACCAGAATTTTTGGATTGGTTTACACTTAACGAGAGCAGAGCATCATCTTCGCGCTCCGAAAGCAACAGCCCACTAAATTATTACATTCTCCTTTGTGAGGCGAAACTGAAGCCAGAAGGATGGTGTCGGCGGATTCCGACCCAATCATCGATTTTTGGTGGCAATTACCTCACATCGAGCCACCGACTCACGAAAGCAATAATTTTTCATTTCTCATCGTAACTTTTTTGAATTGGTTGGATTCAAATGAACGGTTGGATTTCTCGTAGCAAAAATTTCTTAAATTTCAACAAATCCAAACAATCTTCGAAAGCTTAGAAAATAATAAATTAAAAATTTTAATCGTTATATTTTATTCAGAATTCACAAACGAATTATACAAATTTTTTTCATAAAAATAGCTACTGAATAAATCTCGATCGCATGTTAATTTTTTCGACAAATGCCACTTCTATATTTAATTAAAAAGTCCAAAAATTAAGGAATTTAATCTCTTTCGATATTAATTTGAAGCGATGCTATAAATTTTATAATTTTTCGATTATCTGGCCACCAACGAAAAATCGCGACCAAAGGATTCGCTATTTTCGCTCATATCTCATATCTCAAGCTGAAAAGTCTTTCATTTTTTCTGTAATTTCTAAAAATTACACGCTTATTTCCTTTCCTTTCCACTTTAACTTTAATCTCAGAATAACTTGCTTACCTTCGATTGCACGAACCAAATCACTCGAATGGGATTATTTTGCGACCATTGAGCAAAAACTGACCAATGCTCACTGCTATTTCTTGGAGGGAAGTAGTGGGATAAAAATCAAGCAGAGCAAATTTTGTTCTTAATCCATGCCGGTGTACGTTGTTAATTTGTTGCGAGGTCAATGTACAGTATGCTTTTTGAACAAAACACTCTTTCATCATAATACTACTTCGATGCTTGAATAAGAATACGAAGTAAATACGAGGTCAGCTGAAGAGAAAAAAACCATTTCAAGGTCAGTAAACAGCGCAGATAAGATGGTTAACGATTTATGATGTAATGACCTTCGAAGCAATTATGTCAAAGGTCACCTTAGGTATTTTATGTATGAATATTATTTTAGATCAAATTCCCGATAGAATTTTTGTATTTTTTTTAATTTTGGTAAATATGTTAATTTTTATGAACTTAAGATGAATTTTTGGCTTAATTTTTGTCTAAAATGCATTAAAAGAGAAACGTTGAAAGGAAAAGAAACCAGGAAAACACATGAAAACAATAAATAAAAAACTTTTGTCTTAATTTAATTCAACTTCGGTTTTTAAACTAACATACTTTTAAAAAATTAACATACTTGAATGTTTCATTGAAAATTTAAAAAACCCAGAGAATTAGGGAGTTTTGATGTGCGAAGGTCGAAAGGCAGCTCGAGAATAACTGAACGAACTTCAAATTTTAATCAAAAAAACTTGGGCAAAACCGCTACACTTGGGCAAGATAGATTATGGAAATAAGACGTAGTGATTTAGTGACTAACCAGGTGAGATATCAAGTGAGATGAGCAGATGAGAATTAGACAAATGTCAAAGGTCACAAGATTTCATTGAGTATGTCTTTTTGAAGCAATAAGAATTTATTGATCGTCAGCTGATGTTAGTTTAAAATCTCTTATCGTTTTTCCAGGTTGCAAATGCAGTTGATGTGCTGAAATGCATAAGGTCCATTGTAGATTGCTTGAATTGAACTTGAATTGAACTTACTGGAGAATTCTTTCAAAGCATAGCATTTTATCACATAATGTCGTTCTAAACCGGAAATGTGAGTGCTCGTTCATTAGCACTGATTATTGTTTTTTTATTTATCATTTTTTTCCATAAATTATAAATTAAATTAAATTAATTATTGCTATTATTTATTTTATTATTTCATTGCTTAATGATGATTAAATAAGTGTTTGTTTGTTTCGAATACTTCAGATTTTTCTTTATATTATTCATTATTCATTAATGGCAGATTTATTATATTATATCTTATAAATTTATATCTTTAAATTAAATTTATATTCATTAATGGCAAATTTTCTTCAGCGTTAAAATTTCTGACTATTAGTTATTTTGATTTGTTTATGGTAAAAAAATGAGGAAAAATGTACTTTGGTGTACTGAATTTCACTTTGGTGTTCCATTAGAAATCTTATAGGTTTCGTTTTAATAGAATCCCTTTTGACCACTAATAGATTTAAATGTTTTTTGAAGGTTAGTTTATCTAATTGAGTTACCCACAAATTTAAGCAATTTATCAAGAAACGGAAAATTGAGAATTATAATGAAATAAACGACTAATATGACTAATATGATTAATTAATATTTAATTAAATTGTTTTAAGAATTACTTTTAATTTAGTTATTATAATTATTAATTATTAAATTAATTATTATAAATTTATAAATTTTTTTATTTTCTATCATTTTATTTTATCAATTTTTTTTCGTATTTTATGAATAAATATGAAATAAATGAATGAAATATGAAATTAAATGTTTTGGAGAAATAATTATAAATATTTTATTTCTTCGAGTACAATTCACTTGGTAAAAAATTTTGTTTATCAATGGAGAATAACAGACGAATGGATATTGGTTCAGATTATCGTATTAAGGAGTAAACTTTGAAAGTGGCAATACCGGAATACCCAAGTGGAGCCGGCCACCTATCTCTATCGCATTATATTACCAAATGATTCTCTGCCAAAAATGGCCGCAATAACAACTAGCTGAACGAGTTTAACTGGAAAAGGTTCTAATTAACTCTAATCACTTATTTAATCTTCGTTTTGAGTTTCCAATTAAGTGCGCTGCCATTACAAAAGATTTTTATTAATCATTTCATTTAGCGAAATAACTATTCAAAACTTTAAAATATTTATAAATAATTTAGATAATTCAAGTAAAGTGCCCTAAACTTAATTAATATTGTATTAATTGACTTAATTTTCTACAATATTTATTTGTTGAATTTATGATAAGCGGCGAGATGTTAGTACTGATAACAAATTGCATCACTTTATTCCATTATATGATGATGTCTTTGTCATTATAACAATTATAACAATGCCTTGTCACTATACTTGATTTACCACAGTTTTTTATCATGCTAATTTTAATGTGTATTTGAAATATTTTTTTCGAATCATGGAAATTTTCCGGAAAATTTGAGAGAAAAACTATTACTAGTGATACTTTTTACTATTACTTTAGTGGAACTTCAAAAAGAAACAAATTTCATTTAGGACAATGAATAACGAAAAGAAAAGAAAATTTCTTGAAAATTGCAAAAATTCCATATTTTTCGAATTGTGCTTGGCGCTCTGAAAAGATTATTATAAAAGATTAAGATTATATAGATTATTTATAGATTATTAATTAAGGTAAAATTTATTAATTAAACATAAGTTATACTAGTGAAAACAAAGAAAAAACTGGAAAATAATAGTTCATAGTGGTTTAATCACCCAAGTTTGAGTTTGAATACCAAATGGCCCTTTAGAAAAGTTGTTTGATCGATAAGTTAGCAAAGGCAAGCGTTCTTAGAAAAGTAAAACGCCATCCACATGATATTAATGAAGTAAATTAATTATGAAAAAACCTGGATAATATAATGAGTGGATAAATAGCGGTCGGTTGCGCTTATTTATTACTAAATATATACCGATTATTATTATTAAATACCAATATTACTTATGATTTACATTAAATTTTTACAATATTTCTGGAAGCCTTTACGCTTCATGATAAGCTTTGTCCTCGATATGAATAAAGCTGTCATATTATCAGAAATCCGAGTGGCTGCTGGAGGCTCACCTGTAACTATCCCAATTGACTCTGTTGTGAAAAAGTCTGATTTCTTTGGTACGGTGTCCGCGTCTTTCGACGCGCATGAAATCCCAGCTCGGTGGTACATAAGTATACAATCTGGGCGTAAAGTTATCTTAAGGCTTGTGAATAAAATATGCTTGCAAACCACGGCGATTGCTCGAAACCTGCCAAAGTGCACTTTCTACGCACGGCGAGATGTTAGCCATAGTTGCTTGGAACATCAGAATGCTTATGGACTTTGCAAGCAAAATACACGCCTTTTCTAAATATCGCGTGGATATGGCCTCTTTGTTAGAAATCCGCCTTCCTCACTTAGGGTTTCGAGATATTACTAAATTTTTTGCTGAGATACTAGCTTTATCATTGTCTTGAACAACTCGGGCGAAATGACCCAAGGATTATCATATCTGAAAAGGCCCATTCCGCTTTGATTGAGTGGAAACCGGCAGATGACCTTGATAAGAATAAATGAATAAATTCTATGTGAAACATCAACTTCTAGCAAAATTTTTACCAGAAGATGACATGACCATAATCGGGGGGAGAATGCGTGCGTAGGTCTTTATTGCATGACGAATCCAGTAATTGACGAATATGGCAATGCGATGCACCAGTGCGAACGCCTTCGTTTTGCTGAGTATGAAGTTTTGTTACTAATACACGCTTTTGGCATCGAAAAAGACATCTAGTCATGTAGAATTCCCTTAATAATCAATACTCCCAATCAAATTGATTATATTTTAATCAGTCACCATTGGAATACTTCCGTATTAAATAATCGTGACCTTAGTGGTTTCCCATGGCTACGCAGAAACATCCTTCATGGATCTGACCATTTTATGGTTTGAGCCAAGATCTGCATAAAATTCGCAACTCAGGAAACAGTGTTCTCCAAGGTCTTTTAATTAAAAGATTCGGGATAAGTCTATTTCAAACCGAATTATTGAAGTACTTCAATGGTATAAATATCAATAACATTTGGAAATGCAAACAATACTGGTCCAACTAAAGGCATCTCTTCAAAAATCTGCCACTTTCACACTAGTAGGAAGTGAGCTAATTGGGTGCCGGAAGCAACTATCCGAAAACGCTGCATGATATCTTAACTACCGTATATTTAGAAAATTCAAAGTAACAGCAGGACTCATTATTAGAGTGATATGGCTTTGGAAATGGAGGGCGGCTGGAATATGCGATGATATGAAAGAATCCGCTTCCTTAATAAAGCAACTATAACTCGAGGAACGGCTAGTGATACGGTATGGAATAATAATGGTGCCCCTGTTAAAGGATCGCCTCATAAGAAGAAAAATTCTTTGGGACTAAACTTAACCTTGATGCACCACAAATGCGCCAATTATTTTCCCAATCATAGTTGAGTCGCTCACCGGGCCATACGTTTGTAACAGTAAACCGCCAGAAGAAGAAGAAGTAATCATCTCTATCACCTAGAAGCTTAAGGCCAATGGAACTCCCGAAGATGGTCCCCTGGCTGAACTCTTCAAATGCTATCCGTCGTTCCCTTTAAAACCCTGGTATGGAAGAAAGAAATAATACTAGATGAGTGGAGAAAAGCAATCCTGCTCTCGATTCCGAAGAGAGGTGACAAGAATACTATGATAATTACCGAGGAACCAACCTACTAGACGTCTCCGGGAATTGTTTCCTTTCTATTGAATGGATTTACAGCAGTACGAGTCAGCTGGATGTCTTAATCCTAACTGTTATTAGATCGGGACAATTGTGCTGACCAGATGTTCAGGCTAAAAAGTATCGAAACATCGCTTCAAATATCTGCAACCCACCGTCACGCGTTTTATTGACATTGCAGATGCTTTCGATTTAATAGAACAACTCTTTGGAGGGTAGTATGTAATACGACGGTCTCCCAGAGATCATTCGACACATGAAGGCATTTTATCAGCACACATCAACACAAATCTGCGAATATAGGGAATTGAGAGAATTGAAAGATCCTTTGAAATAAGAATAAGATTTTTTTCAAATACCTACCTTGGATCCATTCTAATCCCAAGTGGCCAGGCAAAAGGCGAAATTACAACCCGGATAAAGGTGCTAGAAATATGTCCTTTCGGTTGACGAAGCCTTTGTGGAACTATCGCGAAATCACTATAAAACGGAAGTCCGCATCTATATAGCCGCGATTCGTTCGTTCTTACTATATGGCTGCGAGACATGGCCAATGAGAGTGGAGGATATTAAGAAGGTATCAGCCTTTGACCACTCTTGTCTAAAATACATTTTGCGAGTCTCAGAGCTGATAAAATCTTACATGATTGCATCTACTTCCTCTCAAATACCACTTGGATTAAGAGTGCTATCAGAGAACCTGCTGCTAAGGGCACGTTTTTCGTTATCAACCACACCAAGTGATAGTGACAGTGGTGTCAAAAGCGAGGAAGGCGAATCAAAATTATAGACTTAGACGGTAGAAAAAGGAATGACTTCTTCTATTATCAAAGATGGTGCACTTTGGAAACGCCTTTGGAAACTGCTTGTAGGCAGCGGAGTCAGCCTAACCAATAATTGTGAGAGCTTTAGAGAAAGAAGGCTATTGTGTAACATTTATGTGAAAAATGTATTAAGGTGAGATGACTGGATTTGTGGCAAATAGGACATTTTCCGCATTTTACAATCATTTATGGAGTTTTAAAGTAGCAAATGATAAAAAAGAAAATAAATTGCATGTAGACGGTAGTAAATGGAAAGTAAAAAAGTGCAATAGTTTCAGAAATAAAACCTTTCTCATATGCAATTAATGTTAGTCGATCTCTTAGCAATCTAAAATAACATTATTATAACATTATTTAATTATAAAGTGGAGTTAATAAGTATTTATTTGTTATAAGTATTTATTGGTTAGCAGCTAAAGTTGTATTTTTTCGCTGAACAATACAATAAAATTATACCAAAAAAGTTAATTTCTAGCTTAATTTTAGTTAATTTGCGAGTATATTAGGTAAAGGTTTTTTCATCATTCTTCGCAAAGTAATACTTAGAAAAGAAATTTTTGATATCGTAACGAGTAAAAACGAAACTACGGGCACATTAAATCTCATTATTATAATATAATATCTATTTAAAAAAAAAACGAGGAAAGTTATTAAAAGTCAAAGTGTGCTATTAACAGTAGAACGTGCAATTAGCAAGGAACAAGGCGCACGATATGCAAATTCACGGCTTGAAATGCACAAATTTCTTCAGATCTTTTTTGCTAAACAAAGAAATTTGCAGAAATTTTCGCAATTTTTGATTTATATGGCATTTAATGCGAAAAAAGTTTGCAGTTTTCTATTAGCATCATTACTTAATTTACTGATGACAAATAGTAATATAAAATAAAAAGTAATACAAAAAGTAATAGCAAAGCAAACTAGCGGAATTCTAATTTTAAAAGTAATGAATACTAAAATTTAATGAAATGAGCAGAATTATATGTAAATCAAGAAAGAAGCGGAATATTCATTACATCTGCTGAATAATGTCGTAAATGAATCGTCGACATCATCGTCCACTTCGAGGTCATCCAACACCAAACAGAAGTTATCCACAAATTTTCACCTTTTAGTCCCTCGCTTGTTATTGTTTGTTTCCATATACCAGCAAGTGTTAAACAAACAATTAAACCAATAATGCTCAGTGTACACATTACTGCATCTAATAAAAATTTTTTTAGCAAAATTATTCGAATTTCCACTATTATCAAACTTATTCTTCTCTTTATTTGTTCATTTGTTGCTGGCAGACAATTTTTCTTTGGAAAATTTCCACCAATATGAATGTTTAGAATGCTTAAAGAATGAAAAAAAAGCGCTTATATGGAGGATTTTGGAAAACTTTTAAGAGAAAAAAAAGAAGACCGAAAGCGAAAAACTTACTTGCAAACATTGCAATTTTAAATTTTGCACTTGATAACCGTTGGAAAGTACCATTTTTATAAGAAAGGTGTAGGTAAAACAAAAAAATGGCGGCGACTGCACTAATAAAAGCCATTGTTGATGCGCTGTAATTCTAAAAAAAATATTGCAAAGATTATGTCACGCAAAATATATATGTGTATATATAGCTGAATGTTCAAGCAATATGGTTCGGCATTTGATCCTTGACGGGAGGAAATATTTTCATTCAAAAGGGTTTACTGGGGGTTCGGTCGAAATCAATGGACAATAAAGGCATGGGAAAAAAAGTTTTATTTTCCAATGCTCGAAAGCTTTATTAATTTAGATCAAAACAAAGTTTAAGAAAAAATTTTAATTTCAGAAAAATCAACATTTTTTCAATTTTGAGTGCTAGAGATACTCCATGACTTGGGCAAATATTATATTTCTTGCTTAGCTAAAAAGTTGTTCAGATAAAAAACACTTGTTGCAGGTATTATCAAGTATTTCTGAATAGGTCTGGCTATTACAGGTACTGGTTCACCTTTTTTTCTGACAGCGCTCATCATTGCTGGCTCGTTCCGCTGGCTCATCGGACCAGACGAATTTTGCCAGGGAGTTAACTGGTGGCCGTCAGTGGTTATTAAGCGATTATTTCTCGTTCATCCAATCCGGATTGTGGCAATAAATGCTTCAATCACAAAAGTCTCTATTTCTGCGCAAATCGCATAATTTTTGTCGCTCAATTCTTTAATGATGATTGAATCATTAAAATCCTATTCTATAGTAGACTTTCACTTTTTAGAAGATTAATTTCATAATTATTTTTTATATTCAATGAATCTTTAGCGGATGAGTAGCGGACAGAATATTTTTAACGTATTAAATTGCGGATTGTAGCATAATTGTGAAATTAGACTTCACTTAATTCTGGAGCAATGGATCACCTTGAGAGAGAGCCTCTTAATGCTGAGTAAATGAACTAATCTCGCCGTTCGCTGAGAATTATTACACTGAATAATTTTGATAGCTGGAAAAGCATGTGAGCAATCGTATTTTCAGTTTATATAACGTATAATTTCTTCAATATTTTTAGAATAAAATGATTTGTTTGTTGGAAAGCATGTGCCATTCTCAATTTTCAGCAAAATTAGTACTAATCTTATCGAAAGAAAATTTTGCAACATATAAAATATCGAAATGCAACAAATGATTCCAATAAAAAGCCTCTTATAACTTTGGCACAACCAAAACTCCTAGTAAAGCTGGGGATCAGGAGTTGCTCGGTATTTCTATTTGTAAATGATTAGAAGATCTAAGGAATGATGAACACCTGGTACAACGAAAATTTCTGCCTCAATACATGGTAATTGTTTAAACGTTGAACCTTCGACATATAACACTTACTGAATTTGATTGAGAGTTTGATATTTGAAATTTTTTTTTATAAATTCATTGCTGGTTGAGAAAGTGCCCGATTTTAAATACCTTGGATCCACTCGAGACTTCAAACTTCCTGCATGATGTGAATTTTTTAAATAATATCATAAAAGATATTATCTATTCTTTTTTTAAAGATAGCTAGGGATGGCACACAAGCTATATCGTTCGGTAGTTTATTCCAGTAATTAATATATTACGAATAAAGAAATGAGTCTTTAGTTTGGTTTTACACATAGGTGTTAGTAATTTTAGTCCATTAGTTCTTGTTGGATTTAAGTTTAACCTAAAATTACAATATGTTGAACAATCTAGTTTAGCATAACCATGCAAAATCTTAAACATATAAATTAAATCTTGTTTAATACGACGAACTGAGAGAGAATCCAGGTTATATTGTAGAACTTGTCTTTTATAATTAAAATTGCAATTAGGAGAGAGGCGCCATATAAAATATTTTTGGAATCCTTCAATTATTTCACTTGATTTACGATATCTCGTGAGTAACATGTAGCATTATAGCCAAGAATTGGCCGAACGAACGCTTTGTACATTTTGATAAGGAAATCTTCAGTTTTGTTTGTTCTTAAACGAACGAAAAATAAAATTTAGTATCTTTGAGGACTTCTTTACCATGATTCTACAGTGAAGGTCGAAATCGAGATTTTCATCCATGATTATTCCAGAAATGTGTGAGATTCTACTGATTATATTGCCATTAATAAAGATTAGAAAAATCGAAACCTTTAGAATTGATATGAAGAATGCTACATTTTTGAAAGGAAAGGGTAATTTGCCTATGATATAGCCAGCTGGCTATTCTGTTGTGGTTCTCCTGCAGTGGAGATAGGCTATCAGTTCTACCATGAGAATTAAATTTTACAATCATCAGCATAAAGATAAGTAGTAGAATTTAGTACCACGTTTGAGATGTCATCTATATATAATAGAAAAAGATGGCATAATATAGCTACCTTGGGGAACACCAGATTT